GCGCAGTTGAAGAAAAGTATAAACAGGAATTCTTAAAAAAAATTTTATTGTAAAAAAATATTCATAATAAACGTACTAACTCAGTTTCCAAGACTTTTTATAATATAGTAATATAAGATTTCCATAAAAAAATAAACTTCAATATGTGAATGAAAGCGAAGCCGTTGTAAATAGCTAGTTTTATATTAATATTAGAAAACTAATTTCATTAAAATACACTTAATTATTGTTTTGTTAAGAGAATCTTATAAAAACATTCCATAGAATGATTTTGTAATTTCCCGGAAGCTATTTCAATTATATTTTGAGTGAATGTCGCGTATTTATTCTGAATAAGTATCGCTTATTATCTCCTAATGAATCGAAATGATTAAAATATTGGGTCAGTACAAACGTACCACAACCTATACGTAAACGTTAAATATTATTTTATGTATAAAATATGGATACAAAATTAAACAAAAGTAATATTAAAAATGCTGCTGAAATCTAGAAGAAGCGTTAATGAGAAAGCGTTAAAAAGAAAAGAAAACCATATTTCATCAATAATACTAATTATTTTCCGAAAGAAAAGTCTTGAAAACGTAAAAAAAATATAGGCCAGTCGATTAGATTTTTTTTTTTATAATATTTTATTATTATTATTTTAGACATTAATTGTCCACTGCTAGATATAGGCCTTCTCCATTAGGAGAGTTTTGCCAGTTGTTGCCACGCTTGGCAAGCGAGTTGGCAACCGCAGTTAGGCCTTTAGAGATACTTTAAAAGAAACGTTGCTGCCCATTCTGCATGCCTCCTTTAGTCGCCTCTTACGTCACCCACGGGTAAGGAAGGGGTGGCCCATTCTATGCCAGGACACACACAACGAAATACAATATAGTGTAGATAAATTATTAGCCATATGATCTCGACGGGCCATATTTTCCAGTGGGTGTCGTAAGAGGCGACTAAAGGAATTTAATGATTGAGGTATGAGCAGCAACGTCCTTCTCAAAATATCATCAAAGCCTAACTGCGGTTGCCAATCCCCTGCCAAGCGTGGTAACTACTGGCAAACTCCTCCTTACGGGGGAGGCCTACGTTCAACAGTGGACAGTTAGCGGCTGATATTATGATGATAAATAATAATAATAAATTTATTTAAACAAAAATGTGGAATCACAATTTACTTATCAGTGATTACTACATTAGGCGCGCAAATCTGTTTCGTTAGTAATCGGTGAATTACTTATTAAATTTGTACATATTTATTACATTATATTTTAAATAAATAGATTATCTTGAAAATAATATTATTATATTATCACCTGTAAAAATAATATAATTTCCATATATTAACATAATTAGTCCCAATTGCGTTATCTTTACGATTGCAATGCCATTTCATGGGGAATAGAAGGACGTAATTCTATGTTCACTCCATTACCATATAGCACACTCTCTTTTAAGGAGAGATCTGTGTCTAACGGTGCAATGTTGAGCATGTTATGGTAATAAAATTCCCCTACCGTCTTACTTATGTCATAATATGGGCTCGTTAAGGTTTCTTTATGCCATCAACGCTTTTATAAACCATTCCCCCTTTATCCGGCTTCGATACATCTTCGTCAGTCCCGACACCCTGACTATGACGTATTGTACCGGTTTCATAAGTAGATCAATTTATATTAAAATTTGCTAATAAATACTGTGAAACTAAATAACTTTCGGGAGTAATGATATAAGGTTATTTTTTTTTAATACAACTTAGAATGGCAAACAAGCTGACGGCCCACCTGATGGAAAGTGGTAACCGTCGCCTATAGACATGAGCAGTACTATGGATATAACAGAGTATACTGTTTCGCCCATGATACCTCCAATGCGTTGCCATTCCTGAGGATTCAGGTGGTATTCCTCTGTACCCAGTAAGTTCACGCCATATTCCACCCTTCAAACCGAAACACAGCCATGCATATGCAAACACAACTGCTTCACGATTGAAACACGAATGGGACAGAGGTACCCAAGCAATCGACTTTTGTACAAAGTCTCCCTTTGGTAAAGGATATTATGTATATGTATATATATATATATATATATATATATATATATATATATATATATATATATATATATATATATATATATATATATATATATATATTATTTTTTATAAATTATTACTATTATTTTTTTTAATCTGTTAAGTATTTTTCGAGTGTATCCATTATGAACTAAAAATCAAGTCTCATCTTTTTTAAATATTATAAACTAATATGTGAAACGTAAGACATGCTCGTCTATATGGGTTCTTATCGAGTTCAAAACTAGTAGAGATAGGTACGCCAAACATAAATCTTTGAGTGTAACATATAAATTAATATGAAACTAAACATTTTAAATCCTGGTTATAAATGTTAAAGTGATTTATTTGTATATTTATTACTTTTTATTAATTTTATTACTTCTCTGTTTTAAAACCTCAACTAATTGTCATATAAATTAAATATACACATTCTATTTGGGATGGAAGGGATGTAAGTTATAAATTTCACTCATATTCCAGTCACACGAGGCGTAATTAGCGTACTTATTTTTAAACGACTTTTTAACAATCTAATTAAGTTACAATTTAAGTAATTAAGTCTTAATTAAATAATTACAACTTATGGAAATAGGTCAAGAGTGAATTAGGTCAACAATTCTGTGCAGTGAGTGCATTAAAATAGTTTGAAGGAAACTAAACAATCTCTAACTTTTCAGCTTACACTAACTGTATTAGAAAATTCGTTGGGCAGAATTTATTTCACTGAATATGTAGGCACATTTAAGAATTAAATGTACATGCAAATTAGAATCCAAAAGTATGAAAAATTAGTAGTATTTGTTAATCATCGATCGTATTAATAGGAGTATCGATAACATACAATATGAATCATAATTAACTACGACGGATTTTTACGGACACCACGTGGAGGCTGACCTAATAGGATATATTGCAACTAATAAAGTAACTAGATGGTATTATCATATAATAGAAAATGAGATTTAATATAGGAAAACGTTAGTAAGATACGAGTAAAAAGTTATGTACAAAAATCTTTTTTTATGCTTTTTTTTGAATCAATAAAAAATAAGTTAAAAGCATTCGAGACTATATGAATTGATGATAGTTTCCTGTAGTTAAAAATTTTTAATTTTGTTTTGGAGCCTTCAATAAAAAACATCTTTAAAAATGTTAATAGGACAGTTAATAGTTTTGATAAATGAATAGACATATTTTTATAATAATAAAAATTTATAGATATACACAAAAATTACGCTTTTTTATATCACTAAGGTGGCAAACAAGATTACAGCCCCTCTAATGGTAAACGGTTACTGTAACCTATGAAGACCTGCCATACTAGGAGCGTCACGTGCGCGTTGCTGACCCTAAAGAAACATAAATATAACATTTTTGAAACAATAAATAAAGCATTCGAAATTAATATTATTAATGATTTTAATATTTAACTTTCATTTGAAATTCTTTATTAAAAATATCTTTTACAATTTGCAGCCTGTCAGCTCATTTAAAGGTATATGGTAACCGTCACCAATAGATATGAACAACACAATAGGCATCACGTGGAATATTATGCCATAAACGTGGCATCTCATTAACGATACAAAGGATAGGATAATTAATATAATACACGATAATTAACACTGTAATAACACCATGCATCTATAATATAGTTGATTTAACGATTTAAATCATTTTCATGTTTTATTTTAACTAGTATGTAGTGTAGGGACAAAAATTGAAAAAGGAATGTTGCGTTGGTTTGTCCATTTGGAGAGGATTTTTGTTTTTCTTTTTATGTAACCTAGAATGGCAAACAAGCTGATGATCCATCTGATGGAAAGTGGTAGCCGTCGCCTATAGACATGATCAATACCATGGACATAACAGAGTATACTCTTTCGGCTATTATACTGCCCATGGATGATGATGATGAATGAAAGAAGGATTACGAAAGAGATTTATCGAGCACGAATGAATGGAGATGTCGGTAGGGCCGCTCTAGATGGATGTATGGTGATCAAGTAGGCGACGTGCGGAAGAAGGGCCAAATTAAAAGTACCCGTAACCGGCGAGCGTGTATGAAAAGATTGATGTAGAGGAAACAAAAGAGATCTGTTTGAATCGAAGCCTTTGGCATCCTATTGTTTCTGCTTACTCTAATGGGTGACAGGCGTGATAGATTATGTATGTATCTAGTATGTATAGAATTTTTAAACGCCTTCGAAAATAAAGAGGTAAAAGTTTACATTACGCAAAATAAATCGGGTTAATATATAATGGGTCATTTCTTAAACGGACCTAACTGAGAATCGAACCCGAAACTTAAATTACTCAAAGCTCCGTAACGACGGAAGGGAAAAGGATTGTTAATAATGGGGTCTGAAAGCCCCATTGTTAGCAAAATACTTTATCAGGTCGACATGCACGCAGTTCCCCCTGGAAACTATTGTGGCTAATTCCTGTGAATTTGTTGCTTTCTTTCTCACACGTTGTCTTTCACTGGTCATTACATTTTCAACCGAGTTTAAACAGAAGGAGGTTATCAATTTGATTATGTATTTTTTTATGTTTGTTATCTCATAACTCTAACTCCGTCAATTTTAAACCGATTTGGAAAATAAAATTTTTATCTAAAAATATATACTTACAGATGGGCCTCGTAGAAATTTTATTTAAATCGGTTCAGTAGTTTAGTTTTTAAATCAAAATAAAAAAATAAATAATAAAAAAACCGACTTCAATTGTAAAAAAAAAACATTTTTTTCGGTTTTTTGTTGTGGAGCAAAATCTTTAATGATTATTCATGAAAACTACTACGGCCACGTGGGGTACAATTTAATTTTTTAATGCAACTTGGAATGGAAGCTGGAAACAAAAGACAATAAGAACATACAAAGTTTCCCTTACTTTATACTATAATTAAATTTAAATATATTTTTCTTTACAGTGTCCACACAACTACAATTGGGGTTCAATCTGCCACCAATAATCCACGTAGAACGCAACTGGGTTGTGGCTTCCACGGATCCTATCGGTTTGGTAGTGACCAGGGTAAACAGAGAGAGGACCGGCAACCACAACACTACATTCGGGCTGGAGACCTTCGGCCCACCGGCACCATTCTCTATTAACCCTAAAACTGGAGTTGTGACTGTCAACGATACGCTTATCGATAAGGTATAATGCTTTACTTCCTTCTAAAGTATTATTATTACATTACTAGTCTTCACTCGCTACTTTAAATAACCACTGTTGAATATGGGTCTCTCCCTATTTTGGTTGTCAGTAGTTGCTATGTTTGGCAGGTGGATTGGCAACCTCAATTAGGTTTTAGTATGTTTTAAGAGGGACGCTGCTCATCTCTCCCTTAGTCGCTTCTAACCCACAAAAAAGGAAAGGTTGGCCCATTCTGTATCGGAATCAGACGGCGGCAAAGCAACTTTAAATGCATAACCAGAATAAATAGTCTAATCACTTTCACACTAGAAGCCTTACTGTACTTATACAATTGTATCGTTATGTTTGTAAATTGTCTTGTTTATTTCCTATATTGTATAATGCAAATAAAGTATACTCATTCATTCATTAGAAGTACAGAACTTATGCAATGTTGATCTCTATTTATGATATTATTTACATTGTTTCTTAGAAAGACATTCGTTATCTTCATTCAAATTCATTACATCGTTTATACGCGATATAATTTAATAATTATCATATAAGCATTATAATTTTATCATAAATTCTGACACGTAATTACCTAAACTCATTACACACTGTCACATTTATTATACTTTTAATGATTATTAAAAATGTTAATCAATTTCATTTTATCTACTTACGGTTGTATGATATTTATTTTCTCTTTTTAAAGAGATATCTAATAAATAATCATATTAACCTCTGTAATGAATATAAGGCAATTTTTAAGGTTTTTTTTATGCAACTTAGAATGGCAAACAAGCTTACGGCCCATCTGATGGAAACTGGTAACCGTCGCCTATAGACATGAGCAATAATATGGACATAACAGAGCATACTGTTTCACCTATGATACGCCCATGAATTGGCATCCCTGAGAACTTAGGTGTTATTCCTCTGTACCCTGTCAATTCACTGCAATATTCCACTCTTCAAACCGAAATACAGTCATGCAAACACAACTGCTTCATGGTAGTAACACGAACGGTACAGAAGTGCCCAAGCAAACGATTTTTGTACAAAGTTTCCCTCTGGTTTGTTCTTTATGTGCTGGTTCGTGTAAATTTTTAATCATATCTTATTTATTTTTCAGGAAAATCGATCATACTCTCTATGGGTGACAGCTGCAGATGATGGCTCTATACCACAGAGAACAGAAGTGTTGGCGACAGTAACAGACAGTTCGGGACGTAGACCGAATTCGCCTCATCCGCCACCGTTCCCCCCTCTACCACCTAAATACCCTACGATACCACTTCCACCAAAGTTTACCAGAATACCACAAAGCACCACCAAAGCAACTGAAAAGTTTATCAACGATGTCACAGTACCTGAAACAACATTAGTCACAACTCTTAGTCCACTTAGAACAACATTTAATACTCCAACAGAGAGTAATAATATAGATCATGATTTAAAGAATAATAACATCTCGGATTCCTCTGCTGAAGAGTCATCACCTAATAATGATATTACATTGACAGTAATACCTTTTATAGCAATAGTTTGCTTGGTAATAATTGTGGCTGTGGTCATATTTTTTGTCAGAAAGAGAAACGGTTCGAGCAAATCATCCGCAAAAAAGGACGACATGGTTAGTTTCTAGAATTATTACTCTAAAAAATAAGAATTATTACAAAATACTGTTAAAATATAAGTAATTTTTTTTTTAAACTTACATCATGATAACAAGATTTTTTACCACAACGGACCAAATATTCTATTATCTATATATGATACTATTACTTATTCCAAAAGTTTAGTTATTTTAAGTTTGCATATTAAACTGTATATTTATTTAATTAATGCAGTCTTGTTTATTATCATATTATACACATTATATTTATATTGCGTATTATTAATTAGCTTGTCTTTAATAACAAAAATATTTGTTTCCAATAATGAGTCCCCCTATCGTCCACAGAGCAAGAACGCAAGTGGTATTGTCCTCCAAGATTCGTCTGTAAACTTGTGGAATCGTCCTCGAACTTACTCCAACCGTTACGAGTCCTGGGACAACAATCATTTGCAGGTCAGTTTATGACCTTTCAATATTAGAATTTTTCAAAGCACCATCCTCATTATATTTACGATCAGCTTCGTACCAGACTCTTATAGCGAAGTTTCGCAAACTTTCATTCATACGCTTGAAATTCTCGTTCATAATTTGTTTGTTACCATCACCTCCGAGCTAATTAAATCGAATGATATGAACAAACTTGTTTATATTCCTTGATAGAATAACATTTCACATCGTGAAAATATTTTGCAATATGAAGTAAATTGCTTATAACGAGACAAACTTTTGATTGTTAAAATCTTCGCAATGTTATACCGAATGTTTATTAAATTAAATGTCAGACTAGGACACTTTGATTTTCAATAAACGGGAAAATTATAGAAAATATTTAGTATGTACTAGCGGCCCGTCCTGGCGTTGCACGGGTGGACATTTTTAACATTTCCCTTCACTGATCTGCTCCTATTGATCGTAGTGTGATGAAAAGTATACTATAACCTGCCCATGAGTATAAAGAATAATTGTACCAAGTTTCGTTAAAATCCGTCGAGTAATTATTGTTTCTATAACGAACATACAGAAAGACACAAAAATTTTACTGATTGCATTTTTGGCATCAGTATCGATCACTAATCACCCCCTGATAGTTATTTTGGAAATACATTTCATGTACGGAATTGACCTCTCTACAGATTTATTATAAGTATAGATTATATATGATATATATTAAATTTGTGTGTTTGTACAACTTAAAGTTATGACATCTAAAGATTGTTTTTTACTTAATTCAGAATAACAAATAAAATTTATCCATAACTTTAATCATTCATTTAATTTGTATGCAACAAAATTTGTTTAAATTTAATTTTTTTTTTATTTCTATAATCAAAATAATTGTAGAGCAGCTACTTTAACCATAACAACATCATATGGGGTAAACATGAGAATAAACGATATTGAATGCAAAAAATAAAAATAAAATAAAAATCAATTCCAAATTTGAATCTGATTCAAATGTACAAACGAAACAACCTTCTTCTTTTTTAAACCATTTCAAATAAATGCAATTTTAAAGTAAATATCAGCAAATTTAAAGCATCACCTGTATAATTTAAAAATATCAATCCCTCCTACTCCCAATCCTTGACTATGCAGACGTCGCTTATTCAGATCTAAATATTGATATGCTAAATAAATTAGAACGACTTCAAAACCTCTGCATACGATTTGTTTTTGGTCTGCGCAAATTTGATCATGTATCGCACTATCGCTCTCAGCTTAAATGGCTTCCCATACGCCGGCGATTAGTCCATTACCTTAAGGTTGTCTTGAAAAGATTGCTCTCAGCAATAAGACCGCCTTACTGTACTTATACAATTGTATCGTTATGTTTGTAAATTGTCTTGTTTATTTCCTATATTGTATAATGCAAATAAAGTATACTCATTCATTCATTCATTAATATAATTTAGAAGAAAATTGTTATCACCCTCGATATCACTTTCTATAAACAAGACCACAAAAGAAAATATTCAATATGTTACGAGTACATTTCCATTGAATTACATGTCTACATTTATGATTAAAACATTTTAATATTACAAAATCACTTTTGATTTTAATAAAGAAAAGTGTCATTTGAATAAAAAGCATATCAATTTCAGATATCGCAAATTTATTATAATTGTAATGATTTATGAAACAAAGGCCTAAATTGTTAAACTAAATCGTTGCTAGATTCTATTAAGTACATTTGATACAATGAGTTGATTGTTATAACGATATTGAATTTTATTTATATTTATATACGACGATTAAAAATGGATAATAATTAGCGTGAATTAATTTAATCTAGACTAGATTAAATTTTATTTGAAGCCATGCTATAATAACCAGCTATGAGTATATTGTATATAGTCATTATACTACAATAAATGAGCAGAGAAGAATACAATACAAATAATTTTTATTTTAACAAATTTGGAATTATTTTTAAATTGTTAATTTATTATAACTCTATCGCTGCATTCGAAATGTTGGTATCTGTCTAGAAGAATCCGCAAAAAACTCAATAGTTACTAAATATAATGACTACAAAATTATTCGTTTAAATAATTATTATATACAGGAAATAGCATAATTTTACCAGCCATTAGTCATTTATTCAAAAAGGCAATGTACATTGTGTCTGAAATTATGTATGATTGTTACAAAAAAAAATTAATTAAATTGAATTTTAGAAGTATTTTAGTAATAATAATAAATACATTTTACAATTTAATTATTAAAACAAAAGTCATTAACAGAGTAATTACATTTTTCCAATAAAACGGATCGTAGTTTAATTTAAAAAATAGAAGTTTTTTTTTATACATCTTAGAATGGCAAACAAGCTGACGGCCCACCTGATGTAAAGTAATAATCGTCGCCTATAGACATGAGCAGTACCATAGACATAATACTGTATACTGTTTCGCCCATGATACCCCCCATGCGTTGCCATTCCTGAGAACTCAGGTGTTATTCCTCTGTACCCAGTAAATTCACGCCACGTTATGTATAATTTTCAACTGGATAGGCAATTTATTAAATAACACTACTGCTTGATGATGTGTACCGTGTTTGAGAATGTTCAGACCAGGTATAAAGTTAGCACTAACATTCTTTCTCCTAGTAGGCTCCCAGTTCTTTCTATATTTGTTTATATCTATAGTATATTGAAGAAATTAATATATCGTTAAAAAATTAACTCCTGTATCGACTCTTATATCCTAGGATCGTATCATCCATAACATATGTATGTGATTTGTTGGAGATGCTTTTAATTATTTATCTGCAACGATACCATGAACATAAAAAATTAAAAGAGTCTTCATACGCAAGCATACCTACTTTGCTCGCCTATTATATTATATCTTGCCAGTACTGTACAGTACGAACTGTGCTATATTACAATAAATTATATAAGTATCCAATAATGTGAACATCGACCATTTTCTTGGAAATACTAATGTTCGTTTGATACGTCACGTAACGCTATTTTGTCTCAGTAGTTACGAACAATCTAATATGAAAACCAATAAGTTGATGCCTAAACTATTTAAAATGTCGATAATTATTTTTTAATTACTTCACCACTTACAGATACTTATTTTTATTTATATCTATATCCTTATATCTGACAGTCTCTGTGGCGTAATGGTAGACGTTAAATTACCCGTTTAATTTCAGTCGGACCAAATTTGGTAACTGACTTTTCAAATTTGGATTTTATCTTCTAATATTTATTGTTTAATTTCTCACATCACAGACTTCTCTAACTTGAATTATAAACAATTGGTGTGATTGAGAGCTTTTATAATATTTTTTTCTAGAACTTCGTGATATAAAAAAAAAAAAACACTAGAGACTGACGAAATTGTTAAAATGATAAAATAAATTAGTAGAATGTATAATAATATGATTGGATTGTGTATGGAAACACGTTTAATTTCACGTGATAATATAATATATGCTTGTAAGCATAGTGGAAATTGTAAAAATATCCTCTTACAAATGCATACATTTTGCTCTCCTGTTAAGTAGGTATATTTATTTATTTATTTTTAATTTTAATGCACAGTGAAACTATATACATATGGCGGACTTAACACCGAACGGTGTTCTCTATCAGTCAACCATTGAGCAAACCGAGAAATAAATAGGCGGTGCATTATTGAATTGAGGAAATATAAAAAGTTATACTTAATATATTCATATATTATAAACATATAAATGGACTAATATAAATATAATATATTAAATAAATATATTCATGTATAAATAAGTACATACGTAAATAAATAAATAAATGTTATATATAAGAAATAATTAACTATATTAGAATAGCAAATGAAACAATAACAACAGTATATAACAAAAATAACAAGAGTATATCTAGGCGATAACATTGTTTCGTACCTATTATAAAAGTGTCCATTCTGTATTATTTTTCTCACAATATCTTGTTAGTATTTATCATTTGAAATCCTTTTCAGATATTCTAAGAAAAGTTTAATAAGACGTTGCATTCTTGTCCTTTCCTGGTAAAAAATCTTAGCATTATGTACATCTTTTATTTATTTATTTATTGAAAAACAAACAGCTTACAATTTATAGCTTAAAATACCAATAATTTATCTAAAAAAGCCAATTGTAGGTTTTCCCTGATCGGCAATACAAATTTGTCGTGGAATAATAGAAATAGTTTACTAAATTTAGCAGGTAGTCAATAATTATTTGAACACTATATAAGTACACCATAACAATAATAAGAAGTTTATAAGTAGTATCATCATCATCTTCCTACCCTTATCGCAGTTATTATTTAGGGTCGGCGTAATATTTTTTTATCCATATTACAAAAAGAAGTTTATAAGTAGTATCATAGTGAGTAAAAACCATGCATGTAGGTTGTATGTGTGTGTGTGTGTGTGTGTGTGCGAGCTTGCGTGCGTGTGAGTGCGAGTGAGTGAGTGTGTATAGGTGTGATTAGAGATGGGCAATCCACCTGGGTGGGTTTAAAGTCTGGTGGGTAAAAACCGGGTGTTTTGGGTTTATTGGGTTTAAACCCCATAAACACCCAAATTTTTGGGTGTTTATGATTTTGTACTTCATCATCGTCATCTCAGCCGCAAGACGTCCACTATACTGGACATAGACAATATTATTATGCAGCCTACAGAATAAAAAACTTTTAATTTGATTTTGAGTTTATTAAGAAAGAGATGAAAGTAAAATGTAAAACTACAGTCAATCACTGTCAGATTCAGAGTTATTACAAGCGATGAATTGTATAGGTTCGATAGGCTCTATTTCGTCTAAACTGTTATGTTCATTTACTTGCTCAATGAAAGCTTCTAAGGTATTTTCTTCATTAAACTGAATGTCCTCGCATTCAGCTTTATGTTTAAGATTCCAGTTATAACAAATGAATGAAATTTTTTCAGTTCTTTCAGTTGTAAGTCGATTTCTTTTGTTATTATGTATGTAGCCTTGGATACTAAAGGAACGCTCAGTGGCTGCCGAAGTACAGGGAGCTGATAGAATACGAATCGCTACTTTGCTTAACTCAGTGGAACCACAAATACCTTTCCACCATATTAGGGGCTCAATGCTATCTAATGAGCTCCATACAAATCCTCTGGCCCAAAAGTTTTCTTTAGCTTTATAACACGCCAAATCTGCCATTACATTTGACAAACTTAAGTGTTGGCTTAAATTGTAGATAAACTCCATACCCTTAAGTTCTTCCTCTTGAGTAAGTTCGACTCCTAGAGTCCTGGGGTCTAGAATATATGCTGCAAAATGTATTGGCCTCATTGCCATATTGCATCTTGAAGATACTGATGTTAGAATCTGCTGTTTGCTTTCTTCGCTCAATGTCGAAATCTCATTTAATGCAAAACGTATCTTAGCTTGTACATCTCTAAATGTAATGTATGTGCGATGCAAACGATTCTGGTCGCTCTCTAAGTAAAATATGCTTTCAGTGACTGGTTCCAAAATACTTATACATTCCCCTGTCTTCGTCCAGAAATCATCACTTAGAATTAAATCTTTAATATCTCTTGAAATTACCACATCTTCTCTAACTGTTAATATTTGCAAAGCTATCTTATTTGCTTTCAAACTTTTTAACGAAGTAACATGACTTCCCCATCTTGTAGCACAAGGCAATTTTAGTGTTTGTGTAGAATCTTCACCCTGCCTTGATTTTATCAACAAGGAACTTAATCGTTGACTCCTTTTAACAGTTTTTATTATATTTATGGCTTGCATAATAAACACAGTTACTTCTTGTATCTTTACAATATCTTGGCACAACAAGTTAAGGATATGTGCACAGCAACCGAGAGGAACAACATGTGGATATTTGAGTTTTGTTAATTCGAATGCCTTTTGTATATTTCTAGCGTTATCGCCAATAAGTACAAGAAACTTATTTGCTCCATACACTTTCATTACTTTTTCAACTTCTTGGCTAAGGTATTCACTAGTGTGAGGATTACTTTCTGTATTCAAACTTTTAACGTATGCAGGTTGAGGTTTTGATATAAGAAAGTTTATTATTCCTTCATTTCTTAAATTAGACCAGCCATCGCACTGAAGGTGTAAGTAACTACAAGCATTTAGTTCCTCATTTAACTCAAAACGCATTTCTCTATATATTTTATCTAAGTATTTTGTCGCTAAAGCTTTACGTGAAGGTATTTTAAATTTTGGTTGCAATTTTTCGAAAAATTGTATCCATAAATAGATGTTGCACCATCGATAATGGCGTCCCTGTTACAAATATAGCTCTCGCTAATTCTGTTTTTATATGATCATCGGTGTCTTGAAACTCAGCATTTATTGTAGTGTTAGCAGACGACGAGGGGCTTATAAAAGAATCATTTGTCTCTATCTCTGACAGTCCAGACATTTTGGTTTTGGACGAGCTATCTTTTATAAGTTTCATAGAGTCTTTTAATGTTTCTGGAGATTTTGGACAAGTGATAAGATGTTGAAGCATTTTGGCAGCATTACTGAATTTGTAGACCTTATTACAAAGCTTGCAAGAAACAGACTTGTTTGGTAAAGTACGGTAGTGCTCCCATATGCGTAAATCTTTAGGTCTCCCCATTGAACCTAAAAAAATGAACGATGATTAGTTGGTCTGACGAAAATTCAACAATAGAGTGCCTATTTTTTTACAATGATTATTTCTTGTTATTTACAATAAATTTATTAAAAAAATAATAAAATAAATACAAAAAACCTTTGTAAAATTACATCTCCTCGGAGGATTAAACGCAGACGCTAGTTTATTATCGTATTGTTCTGTATTTTTCTCAGCAACTTCTTTAATTCGATTAGGTACTTACGCATATTATGTTAAAAATAAATATCTAGTACACATCTTAGGCTATCCACCATTATTATCCAATGACGACTCTCAGCTAACTATGCACTATCATCCAAAATAAACGTGTATGGAAAATTTTATCCCAGTCGGTTGAGGATTGAGGATAATTGCATCAACATACGAACATACCTACATACTTTTATTTACATAACGCAAGCTAAATAAAAGCTTGTAATAATACATCTAATTTTAAGTTAAAATTGTTAAGTGATCATGATATAATTGTATCATTCAAAAATCCACTTACCTTTAATTATTTCTTGTTAAGTATAAATATTATTTCAAATCTGCTCCCTTAATATGCACTTTTTTACTGCTTTTCCTACCTAACACGTTACCAGGAAGTCACGTTACCAGAGTCAGAGTAATAGTGAACACGTTTGACAGTGATTGTCGTCGCCTCATATTCAGCGTCGACGAATAGGGGAATCCCCAGTCATAATGTATTGCATGCGTGGCGGTCTTACTTCAAATCCATAAACAAAGAGATAATTACAGAACTCGATACTAGATGGCGCTGTTTTTGTTTGAAGAAAGTTTGCGGGCTAAAATACATAGAATTTCATCAATGACTTCCACAAAGAACAACATTTCTGTTTTTTCTATCCGTATCTCTTCCGTATATTTCATAAGATATAAGCTTGGGCTACATTGTTATGCAACGTGATTTTGTCGCTGTCTTGCTAGCAGGGTTGACAGATATACGATTTAAATCGTACTCATACTATTATTTGTCTATTTTTTAATGTACGATCGTAAAGATTATGATCGTAATTCGCACAAAAACATACGACTTTTTGGTTACCTGGCAACATTTTTATTATGAAACGAACATGACATCATCAGTCACATGCAACAATTTATTGGGGATTTCCCCTTCACATCTGGCAGTCCTGCTTGCTAGAATATAGGTAAGTCAGCCACAGTTACTGACGATCGATATTTAAAGGGTATTGTTTTTGTGCTAAATATTTCATAAAAACGTTATTTAATACTTTGTGGATTATTAATTTAGTTGATAATCACTGGAAGTAAAATGGATGCTAATTTGAGAGATCAAGATCTTCGTATAAAACAGTTAATAAAAGAAAATCTACGTAAGTACTCTTTTTATACCTAGGTAGGTAAGGTATAATAAACACAAAAGGTACTTAGATCGCGTGTGTTCGAAGCATTTATTCTAATAAATTTAATTTAAAATTGTAGAAAGAAAAAAATGTCTGCCAAGCCGTAGCCGAAGCCGATCTCCAAATATATTTGGCGATAGTGAGACCCAGTGTCCAGATGATTTACCCAGCGTCGTCGCAACAAAGAAAAAAACGAGGATAAAGTAAAAGAAAATTTACTGAAAGAAGAAACAAACTGTTCTAAATGCTTAATTTATGGAGAAGAGGATAAAAGAAATGAGTATTTCGGACTGTTAGTGGCTCAAGAATTTAAATATATACGGCCATGTGTGCGAACGAGGTGTTATGAAGAAATTTTAAAGTATCTACGGGAAGCAAAAGGCCAACATGTTGATCAACTGCAACATGAAAACACTGAAAATTAATTACTTTCATTTTATTATATATAGATTTTTAAAATTTCCTGAAATATTATTAGTTAACGTTTTATTTAATATTGTAGAATTGATCAATACAATTTATAAAAATAATTTATTGGTATTACTTACATATTTTCAAAAAAATACGTAAAAACCTATTTTTTTGGGTGATTATGGGAGTTTATGGGTGTTTATTGGGTTTTTACCAAAGCACCGGGTTTAAACCCGGTGCTTTGCCCATCTGTAGGTGTGATCATACTGTATATTTTTCATAGCTTTTCTTACTTGTAAATAGTTTGATATTAATCAATATAATAGATGTGTATATGAGTGACTTAATATTTTTTATCCATCTTTTATAATTTAACATAACTTTTAACGATTATATCATTACAATTACATTATGCTAACATAACTTCTTTCTTCTGCTTTCTTTCACGTCGTAAACGTCCACGATATATTCTGATATATCGTCTCAATCTTATTATCTACAAAGTTTTAATATATTATTAATTATTCATATGTTATAATTAATAATAAAGTAACATCTTCGTTTAATTTCATAAAGTTTGCTTTTCTATCATATCACGACGAATGATACCGTGTCATGTTATGGTTAATTATAAAAGTTCATCATAATAAAGTTCAAAGTCTTGTACTAGTGATAATCTCTTGTGGAATTACACGTTGTTTAGATAATTCTGAGTTATTTCTCGACATTTGTCATATTGTTAAATGTGTTACTTCATCTCATCATGTCTATATTTCGGTTCATTAAATATAACAAGATACAAATGCATAAAAACCAACTGTTTACCTCAAGCATTTGACAGTTTATGGTGGCCATTATTATTTTATGTAGTCATCATGTAGCCCGTAATGCTTCCACAATTAAAAGGAATCTTACGACATGCTTTTATTAGAATTCATCAATCCATTTGGGTTATATACTAGAATAATTTAGGATAGTACGATCTATGCTTGCGGGTTCAGTTCTCGCGTAATACAAAAATGTGTTTTCATGAACATGTCTATTTTTGTTAGAATTGATATATTCTATGTTTTATAATACTAATAATAATACATAAAGAAAAGTATTTCATATATATTAATTGTCTAGTAGGTATTTATATTACACGCCTTATATTAACACATAATACACATATTTTTATTTATTCATACATATAATATATCCGATAATTTAAGAATATGTCCTCCAAAAAAACCGGCTTTAATTTGAAAATTACACAATTGAATGGATTTTTATAAAACTTCTATGGAACCAGTATGAAAATATGTTCTTTCAATAAAAAAAAAAAATTCCAAGTCTGCTAAATAACTAGAAAAGTTATAAAAGGTAACAAATATAAAATCTACACAAGCAAATTTTGAACCTCCTCTTTTTTTAAAATCAATTGAAAAGTATCCTCCTTTTTTGAAATTTAACAAAAATTTTTTTTTATACCACTGAGGTGGCAAACAAGCATACGGCCCACCTAATGGTAAGTGGTTACCGTAGCCTAAAAAATAGAAGAGACTATTTATTTACATCTTTCAAACATAATGTAAAAGCGACCCACTCTTAAAAGTAGATTATAGATATTCTCTTTTCGTTTGATCGCTTTCATTGATCATGTTGTCTTTGTGTTCACTCAGGATAGTGTGGTCACATCTCGAGCTATGTATAATAATTTTTTTTAACTCTTATTTAGTTTTCAATTAGAAGTTATATACAGTTATATAGTTTTATAATATAAAGTTTTACCAGAGGGAGACTTTGTACAAAAGTCGATTGCTTGGGTACCTCTGTCCCATTCGTGTTTCAACCGTAAAGCAGTTGTGTTTGCATGGCTGTGTTTCGGTTTGAAGGGTGGGATATGGCGTGAATTTACTGGATACGGAGAAATAACACCTGAGTCCTCAGGAATGGCAACGCATGGGGGGTATCATGGGCGAAACAGTATACTCTGTTATGTCCATGGTACTGCTCATGTCTATAGGCGACGGTTACCACTTTCCATCAGGTGGGGCAAAAAAAAAAACCTATGTAACGGGAAATTTATGAACTCACTATGTTTTCGTCGTTTCCGAACAACTGTTTCGACTTGATCCAGAAATCTTCTTGAGCATTTGGCTTTTTGCATTACGGAATCTCGCCTCGCACTGAACTTAAAAATAATATAGTTTGCAATTCATAGAAAACAGTAAAAGACAACGTTTCTTGTACTTTCAGCTTTCTGAAGAGACGACAATCACGAAAGAAGAACCACCAGACGAATGGGAGTTCCCACGCCATCGACTGAGGATTTTCAATATTGTTGGAGAGGGTGCTTTTGGCCAGGTCTGGCGGGCCCAAGCCATAGACATTGACGGTATTTATATCTCCATATTAATGAAATTTAGCTCTATTAAATCGATTTAGTGGTTTTTGCGTGAACGAGTAACAAATATCTATCTATTCATTGTATTTATAAATTTTCGCATTTATAATATTATAAATAGACCTCTATATTACTGAAAGCTAACTGTAACTTGCGGCTTTACTTGCGTGAATTAGTATATAAAATATCCTATCTGCTAAGTTAGGATATAATCTGTCTATGTACTAAATTTCATTGAAATGTGTTCTGTAGTTTTTGTGTGAAAAAGTAACAAATATCTTTCTCTCGCTCTCTCTATATTATTGAAAGCTAACCGTAACCTGCGGCTTCACTTGCGTGAATTAGTATATAAACTATCCTTTCTACTAAGTTTGGATATAACCTATCCATGTACCAAATTTAATTGTAATATGTTCTGTAGTTTTTGTGTGAAAGAGTAATAAACACCCATCCATAGGTACAAACTTTTGTATTTACAATATTAACAGGATCTAGTGGTGTAGCGGTTTTACAAATTGTCTTAGGAGAGAAAATGGATTGCTCGTAATGGGGTCTAACAGCCCCATTGGTAGCAATATACCCCATTAGGTTGGTCTTCATGTTGTTGCTTTGAAAAACACCATGGTTTAGACTTAACTTCATCCTCACCTATCATCATTCACTGGCACCCCGTCAGCATATACTAATGGCGCAAGCGGGGTTATTATTCCATTTTTAGACCATTAAAAACATACTGCCTCAAGAGTGCTTGCGCTCTCGATCCCTACACAACATAATCATGAATATAACATGAGTATGTTTGTATTGATTTGGTTGTTTATATGTATTATGAGGATGTTCGTACAAAAAAATATTCAGTCTTATTTCAAACTAGTAAACGATGGTAAAATTCTATCTAGTCGCCACGCTCGCAGCAGATTTGCAACCGCAGTTTTTTTTTACAACACAGGGGGCAAACGAGCATGCGGCTCACCTGGTGGTAAGTGACTACCGCCGCCCATGATCACCCACAACACTAACGACATTGCAGGTGTGCTGCCGGCCTTTTAAAAAGGAATATGTTCTTTTCTTGAAGGTCTTATCGTATCGGTTCGGAAATACGTTTTAAATTACTTTATTAAAAAAAATTAATTTGACTCAAATTTTGTTCACGATTAGATTATGTCCTAATTTAAAGACAGAATATTTTATATACTGATTCATGTAGGCGAAGCTGCGGGAAATAACTAGTAATCATTTATAATTCTTGGAAATTTAATAAGATTCTTTACCTGAAGGCACTTTAATAAAGTATTATTTAGTTTGCATTTAATTTCCAGGCAAGAAAGGGGAACAAACAGTGGCAGTAAAAACGCTCAAAGAGAATGCATCAGAAAAAGAAAAGACTGACTTATTGCAGGAACTACTTGTAATGAAGAACTTGGGGCCTCATCCTAATGTTGTACGGCTTATCGGATGCTGTACCGAGAAGGTTCGTTATATAAATAACTTAACAGTAATTGTCTATTCATTTTAAAACGACTTTAAATACTACAATGAGAATTCCTCCGATTTTGTGTGTGTGTGTGTGTATACGTGCGTGCGTGCGTGCGTGCATGTGTGTGTGTGTGTGTGTGTGTGTGTGTGTGCGTGCGTGCGTGTGTGTGTGTGTGTGTGTGTGTGTGTGTGTGTGTGTGTGTGTGTGTGTGTGTGTGTGATATTTAGCAATCTTTTTTTTTATACAACTTAGAATGGCAAACAAGCTGACGGCCCACCTGATGAAAATGGTAACCGTCGTCTATAGACATGAACAGTACTATTGACGTAATAGAGTATACTGTTTCGCTCATGATACCCCCCATGCATTGCCATTCCTGAGGATTCAGATGTTATTCCTCTGTTCCCTGTAAATTCACGCCATATCCCACCCTTCAAACCGAAACACAGCCATGCAAAAAATCTTATAAAGTTTATTGAAGTATATTTTGTAAAAATAAATTCAATATCTATTAATATATCTAGCAATATAATATATATATATATATATATATATATATATATATATATATATATATATATATATATATATATATATATATATATATATATATATATATATATATATATATATATATATAAGACAAAATAAGAACTTCCTCTTATTGAAAATCATAATTTAATACGACAGCTAAAAAATAAAAATCCAGCAGTTTCAAATTGTTAGGATATGTATAAATTAATATGCAGACACCCAAGCGACGGCGTTGATTCATAATTTATGACTCAGATGACCCGGTTTAGGTTTTATTATAGGCATCAATAATCAATATCTAAGAATTATTTGTTCATACTAATATTATAAATATGAATGTATGTTTGTTTCTTACATCCTTGGTATATAACTTGGTATACACATATTATTTGTATTAGATACTCATAAGAATTTTTATTCTGATCAATAAATACTAGTACCTATTTACTCACATTGACGAAGTATTTCGGGTAAAAATTAATGAATGAATGAGTATACATTATTTGCATTATACAATATAGGAAATAAGCAAGGCAATTTACAAACATAACGATACAATTGTATAAGTACAGTAAGGCGGTCTTATTGCTGAGAGCAATCTTTTCAAGACAACTGTAAGGTTGTTAATATTATAGTTAAAAAAATACCATCCTTATTAAATGAATTATTATGAAAATTCACCACATTTGCCCATAGTCTCCCTTCTAACTGTATCAGCGGCACTACTTATTAATGGGGATGTGCATACCTTGTACTTTTTTTTAATGGGTGATAATGGAATGATATAATGGCCTGTGCTATCGGGATATGTTGGTCAGGCTCCAGTGAAGGATAATAGGTGAGGATGAAAAGATAGGTCAGTTAGAGCCCATCATGACGAATTTCACTAGAATTAACCACGATGGTTTTCAGGGTATTAATAACAATGGTTCAATTAGATCCCATTACTAACAATCCCTTTCCCCTCACCTACCTTGTACTGTATAATGCTGTTGATTCAGATACAGGTTGTTTTTTTTTAATCTCTAAATAATGAATAACACCAGTTTTAAAGAACAGGTTACGTTAATTAACATACTGTATATAAGCATATTAAAGTAACTATATAAATTATAAATATTAATATTGATTAATGTCGCTCCAATGTTTTCTTTAATTAAAATTTTTTAACATTCTTTTATAGGAACCAACGTTTGTGATAATGGAATTTGTCAGTCTGGGCAAATTGCAGCAGTTTCTCCGAGACTCAAGAGCTGAAAGACACTACGGGAACACCCATGGTGGAAGTCAGTTTCTGACCTCCAGAGACTTGACTCACTTCGCATTCCAAGTGGCAAGAGGCATGGACTTCCTTAGTTCTAAAGGGGTAAGATGAAAAACATTTCACTTCGAGAGAAACGAAATATAAATAATTACAATACATTACGACTCACGAGTTATTATTCAAAAGTAAAGGGGTATTTTATTATTAAAAATACAGTTTATTTTTGTAAATCCTTCATAATTATCATCGTATCAGCCGTTAACTGTCCACTGCTGAACATAAACTTCCCACTTGGAGGGTTTTGCCAGTAGTTGCCACGCTTTGATTGGTTATGTTACATGAATTTTTAAAGTTTGGCGAGATTTTGTCCAATTTCATTTTTATACAACTTAAAATGATAAACAAGCTGACGATCCACCTGATGGAAAGTTGTAACCGTCGCCTTTAGGAGATAACAGAGTATACTGTTTCGCCCATGATACCCCCCATGCTTTGCCATTCCTGGGGACTCAGGTGTTATTTCTATACCCTGTAAATTCACTGCCATATCCTTTAAGCCCTTTAAGCCAGTGTTTCACAATCTTTTTTGTGCCACGCCCCACTTGAACATTTCTAAAATTTTTATGCCCCCATACATAATTTTCCCCGACAAAGTTTACTTGACGACTCTAATCGCCCAGTTGATATTTTGGTAACGTTAAACGAAATTATACCTAATAAATATTTTCAGCATTTTTTTTTACTTGTCATTCCTGAGGACCCGGGTGTTATTCCTTTGTACCCTGTAAATTCACTATCTTACCCCCCATTAAAAACCGAAATACAGCCGTGCAAACAACTGCTTCACGGTAGAAACACGAATGGGACAGAGGTGTACAAGCAAACGACTTTTGTACCAAGTCTCCTTCTCTCAATTCTTTTAAGAACACTACAATGGATAAATATAAATGGATTACCATACTTTAAGATTTCTTCCGTCAATTCATTTCATTAAACTATTTCACGAATGGTTAACAATAACAATGTACCTATTAGGACAAATACAAGACAATAATCAAGTTGTATTATATCTACACATAATACATAGGTATATGTAATTATGTCGTGTATCAATAATAACTAATCGTGAAATCGATTAAAAGCCAATTAATTTCTTGTTTATCTTCTGATTTAGTTCTCTAGACAATCGGACAGTGTTAATATGTTTTCAATCAATCAAATGTTTTATTTTGTGATGAATACGTAGGTGCGTAACATACATATGATGTTTTTTTTTTTAATGTATAATAATGGAATAGTACCCCGCATGAGATATCAGTATACATTGGCGGGGCATCGAGGGGTTGATTGGAGAGAATAAAAAGACTGGTCAGTTAGCTCATCGTAATGAATTCAACGGTAAATTAGTCACGAGGGTTTCCAGGGGAATCGCGTGAAGATCGACCTGTTAGCAATGGAGACTGACCTCCCCATTATTAACAATCCCTTCCCCCCATACATATGATGTGGTGACGAAATATTATTTAGTCCTTACAATCTTATAGATGGTACAAAATATTTAATAATTTACAGACACAGTAGTCGTAATTTTATAAATTCAAATATAAGTTTGCTTGTTTATTTTTAATATTTTATATATTGTTTTTTTATAATTCCATACTTGTGACAAGTATTTACTAACCGGGATAGTAACCTATGTCCTTCGTCGTCCCATATGGTACCTGTATACCAAATGTCACAGTGATTGATTAATCCGTTAAGGCGCTAAGAGGCAACAAACAAACTCACTTTCACATTTATAATATTAGTAATGTTTATCACGACTGACGATCCACCTGATGGAAAATGATAACCGTCGCTTATATACATGAGCAGTACCATGGACATGACAGAGTATACTGTTTCGCCCATGATACCCCCCATGCGTTTCCATTCCTAAGGACTCAGGTATTATTTCTCTGTACCCAGTAAATTCACGCCATATTACGCCCTTCAAACTGAAACACATAAAAGTATAAAATAAAGTCGCTGTCGCTATCTGTTTTTCCCTATGTATGCTTAAATCTTTAAAATTACGCAACGGATTTTGAAGCGGTTTTTTTAATAGACAGAGTGATTCAAGAGGAAAGTTTATATGTATAATATAGTAAAGAAACACTGGTAATTTTAGAGATTTCTAATGTGATGAGATGTAGTGTGCACCCGTGCGAAGCCGGAGTGGGTTGCTAGTAAATTATATATCATAGTTTTGAAGAGTTTGGATAATCTATTTTCAGATTCAGCAACAGACTTAGATGTAATGGAAAGCTACCAAGGATTTATCGGTAAAATAAATAGGCAGTACGTTTCCTAGGCAAACTAATTAATCTCTTCGGGGCACCTTATGTCTATGGAGAGTTCTATATATTGCTAATATCAAGATTAGAAAAATTTATAAATCTGAAAGTATATTATTTTAGATAGAAAAATAATTTTCCAAACTGACGGAATTATTACATAATAACTCCTGCATAACAAACTTGAAATTATTACGTAATAGGTAAACATAGAAAAATACAATCGAATTGAGAACCCTCTGCTTTTTAAAGTCGGTTTGAAAAGTGATTTAAACTAATTCTCGCTATGAAATCTGAGAACACTTTATTAAATCAAGCCACTATAACAATAAAGTATAATGGACACTTAAACGAAGTGGGAATGTCTTAAGTGCGCCCCCTTTGTTGTGGTAAACCCCATTAATTTAGGTAATAACAGTTTTAGTACAGGCTTATCCGTTTTAATTCCATGGATAACATAATGAGGTCGCTTCCGAGGCTCCATTTGCTAAACGTGTCTTTATAATTTTGAGTACAGAACGGAGTGTTGGGCAGCAAATGTGATGAATAAAAAGTCTACATTAACTGAGATATGAATGTTAAGACGAATATGTCACAAAAATGGACAGAGTATACCAGAGAAGCAGTGTGTGGTCCCGGCATATAATTGGCCAACCCTTTCCCATGTGTGTTGTAAGAGGCGTGAATTTACTAGGTACAGAGGAATAACATCTGAGTCCTCAGGAATGGCAACGCATGGGGGTATCATGAGCGGAACAGTATACTCTGTTATGTCCATGGTACTGCTCATGTCTATAGGCGACGGTTATCACTTTCCATCAGGTAGGCCGTCAGCTTGTTTACCATTCTAAGCTGTATAAAAAAAAGGCAACTATGAGAACTGAATGGTCGAGGGATGGGCAGCAGCATCCCTCTTAAAAATTTATCAAAGCCTATGCACTTGACAATCGTGACAACTACAGGCAAGACCCTCCTTATGGTGGAGACCTATGCTCAACAATGGACAGTTAAAGGCTGATATGAGGATGATGATAATACCAGAGGAAGAAAGAAAAGAAGCATCTGTTATAAAAAAGTTAAGAAGTAATAAGTATTCCTAAAAAAAAAAAGCATTGTATATAAATGTGGATGGTTGGAATAGGAGTGAATTTGGAACTGGTTGCCAGTAGAAATGAATGGAAGAGAAAAACATATTATACCGAATTACGAATAATTGAAATAAGAGCAGAATGATGATATTTTTTTCCATTTTTTTGAGTAAACTATCAATGACTGAATAAAGAGTACAAACAATTAATGAAGGGAAATATTGGCTAAAGTTGGCACCAAAACCGTTTCGTTTCTTTTCAAATATTATATAAATAATCTAAATATTGAAAAGTAATGAAAAATTAATGATTTTATTGTCGACTATACATCACATATTCTAATATACAGATTCTTTTTAAAATAAACATAGAACAATACAACTACTAGCCTATATATATAATTAGAGATAATTAATTAAAAAATTAAAATATATATATATATATATATATATATATATATATATATATATATATATATATATATATATATATATATATTTAAAGATAAAAAAATTCTTTGAGATCACTGCCAGCTGGTGCCTAGGATACTTAATGAAAAATTATATAAGTCTTTCAGAGATTAGTTATTTAAAAATAATTCCAAAAAAAATTTAATCCATTAATAATATCAACATCATTGAAAAAAGCGTTATATGAATTCACAAGTCTATATATTACAATTATATTACATTGTTTTCCACAAAGAAAATCGCTTCAATAGTTAAGCATTTTTGTAGCTAAATAATTATTTATATATAAAAATTACAATATTACAAATTATTGAGGACTAAACTAATTCTAACTCAATTTATTCTAAATTTAGTTAATATTGATTCTTAGTTTACTTATAGTTCATTCGTAATATCAAAATGTTTTTTTCTTTATTAAGAATTCAATTCAAATACAAACTCTAACCAATGGTTTTTTTTTTCCTGCATAAATTAGAATAAAAAAGTAATCTAAGTACTAATTTATTTGTATATTTAATTTTCTTTGAATTCATTTTAACATTTTTAATAATTTTGTATTTGAAAATTTAAATTAATTATTATCATATTTTTTCAACTGTTAATTTAAAACACTCTATTTGCTCTACGTGATTGAACTTCGAATTTTCACATTTATCATATTTATAATTTCTACGTGAAACGGTTGGAAGAGATTTTCAGAAAATAACCAAGAAGCAACTATTAGAATAAGTTTTTTTTTCATAAGTTTACTTTTAAATTTAGTGTTTATTTTTAAAGGCAGTGTTAAGTTGATCTGAATAAATGCTATATTATTATTATTATATTATACCTGAATCTAGTCTTAGTCTACGATTTGGTTTGCATGACTGGGATATATTGATTGACCGGTCTTGTAGATTATATTTAATTATATTAAATATTTTAATAATACATAGGCGCTTTAACAACTAAAATACAAACTCACTACTATAATATGAATATATTTTAAATACACAATCGGGACTTAACAAGATAAAAAAGCTTTTACAGATAAATAGTACCTATATACCTGCTTCTTTATTTCTGACGTTTCGACGTGGATTGTACCACGTCGTGGTCATGGAAGGACACGACAGTTAAGTCCCGATAGTGTATTATTAAAATATGTATAAACAACGCGAAAGTTTAAAATAACTAGGTATAAATATGTTGTTTTTTTTTAATAATTTTAAAATAAATAAAATTAATTAATATATTGTCACTTTCAGATAATTCATAGAGATTTAGCAGCGAGGAATGTGCTTATCACAGAAGAGAGGACGTGTAAAGTAGCGGACTTCGGCTTCGCTAGAGACATAGCCGGGGCACATGTGTATGAAAGGAAGAGCGACGGTCGGTTACCTATCAGGTCAGTTACTATTATAATATCGAAATCGGTTTTATTTATCATTTATTTATTTATTTATTAGAACATGTACGTGTACAAGGTGAACTTAATGCTAAAATTAATTCCAGTCAACCTTAGGGAAGTTTTAGAACACTCAAACGTGAGAAATTTTAATAGAAGAAGAAGAAGAGAACATTTATTGCCAAGAACAATAAAAGTTACACTTATTAACAATACAAAACAAATTTCATATTTGTTATTGCGAACGTGGCCACAACTCAGTGTGTGCTGTAGCTAATTAATTGCTACAGCGTTGATATTCTCTGGTGGTCATGCATAACATCACAAATGGTGACATTAAATAAAGAAATACTATAGAAATATAATGGAACATAAAAATGGATATTGCTCATACAGTGTTCATGTACACACATATATATTACATACATATATATACACAGCAGATAAGACATACACATATATAGTACTAGCAATAATGGATATACATAGATAGTTACAACGTTTAATTTGTGTAGGTAGACTTCTAATTTCGTAATGTCTGACAATACAACGGCCGTCATCTAACAGTATTGTAATAAAATATGTTATTTTAACATTCAATAATTCATTATTTATTTACATTTGTTAACGAATAAACGAATAAATGAAAAATCTTTCTTGTTCCAAGAAAAAGACAATTTAGTACATAAAAATATATATTTAAAGTTAGAATTACAAGAAATAAGTTAAACAATGAGAACAATGAACGTACTTATCAATAATAAATAAAAAAATAAATAGTAATCTCTTCTAAACAATGGTAATTTACTTAATTGCCACCAATTAATTTATTTACCTGGTAACTATATATATATATATATAAAGAAATCGCTTTAGCAATAACACAACCTTTTGAACTTTTATAAGCGTAATATGATATATATATTTTTCCAACGGACATCAAAAAGAAGGAGATTCTAAATTCAATTATATTTATTGTGTTTGTTACCTCGTAACTCTATCAGTTGTAAACCGATTTTTTTTATCTGGAAGAACATACTTACAGACTGGTCGTATAAAGGTTTTATATAACTCAGTATTTTTTTGTATTATTATTTAAGTGATATAATAAATAGTTAATACATAAATAAAGTTATTACTGTTATTTATTTATATATTTATTCATTAAAAGTAATTATAGGATTATGACAGATAAAGTTAAATCAATGTTATAAATTATATAGCACACTAGCTAACATACAAAATTATAATAAAAGTATTTAATCCGAGTTCAGATATTTCTGAGTCGTTTCTAATATCTTTGGTAGGCTACTACTAAAAATATCAATGATGTTTATAATATTATTTAATAACTGTACTGCGTGAGTTAAGGAAGCAGCTGGAAGTGCTGAAGTAGGTTAGTTCTGACATTTATTCTGACATTTATTATCATTATAAAAATAATTTCTAACTTCTTTTTCAAACATATATCAGATTTTAAATTGAATGAAAAATACAACTTTTAATAAAAAATACAACTTAAAAGAATATCCAATTTGGTGGTAGTTTTTGTATGATACCGGAATACATTGACATACTATTTGTTTTATTAAAACCCTTCATATATATATTTTTTTAATATCTCCCATGTATAAAAATCGTGTAGTTACTATAATGTTGTAAAACATTAGATGTGCTTTGCACGCTTAAATAACTTGTCTTTATAATAAAAAAAAAAACTGCTTATAAAATGAATATGCACTTTTTATTGAAGGACGCCATGACAGACTCGCTTAATTTCATTTTCCAATGTTGCCAACCTTAGGTACAATAATTTCCAATATACTACAGTTACAATTTGATCGAATTAGATTCTAGGTATAACATACTAGTGTGTGTAATAACTAGACGCCATCGAATTCTCGCGAAATACTAATATAGAGTTAATTAGGTGGTAAAAATTATTTCTGCCAGTCTATCTGCCAATCTTCGCCAGTTCTAATTGGATGTTGTTCCCTTGCTAATTCCCCTCAAAAGAAGATACGCTTAATTTCCCCTGAGTTAAAAAATAGCCATTATCCATTTTTCACTTTAAAAATTTAATTTTACTTACAATTAAATTCGAAAATTATATTTGCTAACACTTTAGCATATTCCAAGCAATTGTGTACCAAATCAGGACGCAGCCGTCTCACTCTCATTTTACATATCTTGCGCAATTGTTCTATCTAAATATGTCCTTTAGATGACAGTTAGAAAAAAAATATTTAAACTGTGGTAATGGTACTTACTAAAAGGTTAATTCTGACCTGCCACCCAATAAACTTAATCACTTTTTCATTTTAAATATATTATCCCAGAAGGATGGTAATTTAAATTAACAGGATACCTTTAGCTGTTTAAAAATTCTCTTTTCAATTCTCACTTTTAGAAAGGTATTTAAATTATTAGAACAAAATCATAATTTAAAAGGACTTGTCTCATGAATGTATGAATAATTTAGAATTCAACATTTCTAACACAGAGGTTCTTATTTTATAATTCCTTTACATTTTGAGCAATGCAATAGCAACTTATATATTAAGTAGACGGATAAAAACGAAATGGCCGTATGGTCCCGGCATAGAATGGGCAATCCTTTCTTTTCCCGTGGATGTCATCAGTAACGACTTAAAGAACTTAATGGTCAAGGAATGAACAGCAGCGTCCGTCTTTAAACATTACCAAAGCCTGACTGCGGTTGCCAACCCAACTGCCAAGCATGGTTACTGCTAACAAAACCCCCCAAGGGGGGATTAGTTCAAAATAGTTAACGGCTAGTATGGTATAAAAACGAAAAAAAAGTATTTATTGATTTTACATTTTTGCATGTGCTATGCCATGTTAATGTTACAAATGCATTATTACAGGAAAATTTACAGATACAAAAAATAAAAACATTTTTTCTGTGCATGTATTCACAATATTATATATCATACTATTAAAAGGATTTCCATGCAATTATACACATTTATTATTTTAGCCATTAACTATCCACTGCTGGACATAAGCCTTCCCCATTATTTCCTAATATATTTACGAGTATATACATACATACATATCTGTCACGCCTGTCTCCCATTAGGGTAGGCAGAAACAATGGAACGCCAAATGCTTCGATTCAAACAAACCTCTTTCGCTTCTTCCACATTCATCAACCTTTTCATACATGCTCGCCGGTTACGGGTATTTACGAGTATATAAATTAAAATTAATTGTCCAAAGTTTATAGTATGTTTTATTTGGTTATTGCGTCATTTCAGAACTATATATATATATGGTTTATTTTCTTCATTAGTACAAAGTCACAGCAGGCAACTAGTTATGAATATATTATAATAAAATCATATGATATCGAGTAGTGATATTATAAGCCCATTGTCTTCGCGATAAGAGAGGCCATAGTTTTAATTAATCTTTGCAGACAGATCTATATCGTATTAATGTTATAAATGCGAAAGATTGTAACGAAGGATGAATAGATGTTTGTAACTCCTTCAAGCAAAAACTACTGAATAAATTTGAATGCAATTCGGTACACTGACAAGTTATATCTTAACTTGGCACATAGGATATATTATGTACTAATTCACGCAAGTGAAGCAGCGGGGTATAGTTAGTTAATAATAATATAAATTTTCTTTATTATTGGATTAATGAATATTGTTAATTTGCTATCTGAAGATTACAACAATCATAATGATAAACATAATTGTTACAAGTTAAATAACGTGTTTCTTAGTTGATTTGTTTAGGTAAAATTTTCCAAGAAGAATTAGAACCAGTTCCTCCTAAACAATTTTGCTGAAATTTTGTATACCTACACATTTAGTCCTGATGACAATACAGTATGCAATAGTCATTTCTATAAATATTATTATATAAATGCGAAAGTTTGTAAGGAATAGATGGATGGATTTTTGTCAGTCTTTCACGTAAAAACTATTAAACGGAATTGAATGAAATTTAGTACACAGATAGATTATATGCTTTAATAGTACATGAACATCTTATTTACTGATTCATGTAAGCGTAGCTGCGGGAATAATAAACATTTTCAAAATGGCCGTCGCCATGAAATAACAGTGTATTATGACTGTTATTCGGGTACTAACAAAATTGTTTAAAGAATAGGTAACGATAAAATAAATAACATCTTTTAATACGACTGCTGGCACAAATTGTCAGCTTATTATAAAAGCTTGTTTCACCAAAATGTTTTTAAACGCATTTGTTTTTCTTTTTACAAGATGGATGGCGCCGGAATCACTCTACGATGACATATTTAGCGTTAAGTCAGACATTTGGAGCTTCGGTGTGCTGCTTTGGGAGATAGTGACTCTTGGATCCACCCCTTATCCAGGCTTGTCAGCTGGCGATGTGATGCGGAAGGTACATTTTTTGTTTTTCTTTTTATATAATTTATATTTTAAAAAAATATTAAACATAATCTTATTTACGAGTATATTCCTTCGAAAAATGTCGATACCTGTTTACTAATTCACAGTATTATTTAACTAAAAAAAATATAAAGATATGCCTGTGCCTTCTAATTTTAAGACTTTCAATCTATTACGCTAATCGATGCTGATTTTTTTTGATGGATGATAATGGAATGGTAACTTCGCCTGTAACGGTATACGCTGACGGGGCACCAGTGAGGGATGATACATAGATGGATAATAAAAGAGCAGGTCATTTAGTACTATTACCATTACCCATAGTAATGAATACACCTGGAATTCAGCACGATGGTTTCGTAGATGGAGCGGGAATCGCGTTGAGGTCAATCTGATAGGGTATATTGCTAGCAATGGGACTGGCAGCCCGCTTTACTAACAATCTCTTCCCCCCAGAATCGATGCTTATTAATTACTCTCTTTTATAATATATATAGTTCTATATATGTCTATAGGCGAGAGGTATTGATTTTTAAAAAGTGGGACGTTAGCTTGTTTACCATTCTAAACCCTATCATTTGTTTACTCACTTCAAAAAAAAACAATTGAATAGATTTGAATAAAATATGATATATATATAATATGATATATATATGTAGGCCATATTCTGGATTAACATATAAAGTATTTTATAATTTAATTTATATGCATAAAGTTATGGATTGTAACTATTTAAAAATATTCACAGGTCCGTGATGGCTATCGACTGGAAAAGCCAGAACACTGTCGGCGAGAACTGTACAATATCATGTATTACTGCTGGGAAGCGGAGCCTCCAGCTCGCCCCGACTTCAAGGAGGTAGTCGCTATGCTCGAACGACTGCTGTGTACTGAAATGGACTATATAGAACTGGAAAGATTCCCAGACCATTCGTATTACAATGTTCAAGAATTGGACGGCGAGAAATTATAACGTAAACAGTATCTTTACGCAGTGATTGTTGATTTGGAGGCGGGTGTCCAGTGAAATGGTAGCTAAACTGGTAAGAACACTAGCTCTGATATAACCTCAAAGGTGCGGGTTCAAATCCCAACTGATTCGATTAGAATTCTTTTTAATCACACCATATTTATTTAAATATGATTTTCATATTTTAATAATATTTGATTATAATTTTTCTTACAAAGTGATGTAAATATTAAATTGAGATTTGTTAATATACAATTTCTATGTCTCAGATAGATCAGTCACAGAATATTTTAAGAATTGACAGTAATTTTACTCTTTTCTGTGTTAATTTTAGTTTCACACGATATAAGAAATAATTTCAATACATACGTAATAATGTCATGAATGAATATAACGATATCATATGAAAAAAAGATTTTTTTTTACAACAAAAGTCTAGTTTTGTTTATTTATAATATGGAGTAAATTATAAAGATATTAGATTTATTAAACAAACAACAGTATTTACATTTGATATTAAAATCAATCCCTGTTCCAATGGTAGAATGTCTAATTAAACCTCTGTTTCTTTATACAACTGTGGGGAATTGCAAACAGAAATGAAATAACATTTTATTTGTAATTTATATTTCCCCCAGTTATTCTATTTTTAACAATCAACCTACAGTATTTTATTACAGTTTAGAATAACAAACTGCGTTAAAAACTTATAACTAATTTTAATTTTATATAATAATAACATTATGAAACGATAATAAATTTATAACAAAAGCAAAATGCTAGCAAAAACAAAGATTTCGTATGAATTTATTTATTCATTATTTTTTTTATATTCAGTGCATAATAATACTGCATGTTTTATCTTTTACACGAAAAATTAACGTTGACTTCTTTAACAGTTTAAAAGAAAAAAAAAATAGTCTGAGTACATAGTAAGTATTTTATATTAATCACATAGTTAATTTTTATATATTACATTTTATATTTACGGAATTATTTACTATTACTGGAAGAACTTATTTTTATGTATTGTTCCATTTATATAAAAACATATTTGAATACAATTACAATAAACGAGTAAAGCTAGTATGTACGTATATAACAAATTTAATTTTATCAATAAATAACAAAACAAAAAAGAAATCGCTAAATTAACAATTTTATTTTGTATATACATTTTGTATAAATAATAATATGAGATTATTATATCTAATTTGAATAATTATTATGTATAATACAAAATATGATGAATTTTTTATAAAAATATGCACTATTTTTTGCAGCATTGCTAGAACAGAAAAAAAAACATTTCAATAAGTGCTAAAGCTCATGTATTGTAATTAATTTGATATAACTTTATTAAATCGTCAAAATTGTACCTTATGAATATTTGAAAATTAGGTATAGATATTAATAGTTACTAGTCTTTATAATTAAGGTTATAACGGTGTATTTATAACTGTATATATAAACAATATTAAGATACGTCTGTATTAATTAAGACTTAGTATATATTGTTCATGGTAATAAATGTTTTGTTAACATATAATAGTTTTATTTATTAAAAACCATATCGAAATTAAAATATGGTTGATAATTCTTTAGAATGTCAAAACATAAAGAATGCCAGGGATGTCACAGCGATATTCATGCTGCTGCTCATAGTAATAGGCGACGGTTACTATTTTCCATCGTATGGGCTGTCAACTTGTTTGTCATTCTAAATAAAAAACTATAATATAGTGTGTCAATACCAAACTATAGGGCTTGTTGTTAAAAAAGTAATTAATTCATAACAAACCTAATACCATAATAAACCCTTCTAAAATATAGTCCTTTTTTGTCAAACCTCTAATCGTTTTGTTAACTCAATTTCATATACGAATTTCAATTTTAAATTAAATTTTAATTTAAGTCTAAAAAAATGTAATAAAAAAATATAATTTTATGTCTAATAGTGGCTTAATACTAAGAAAAGATTACCAGAAATTCTCGTGAATTCATAATGTGAATAACATTCCCTAATCAATTTTCACATATTTTTTGCATCTTAACATGATATTTTTTATATAATAATTATCGCATGCAATTTCTATTAAAAACAGTAAAGAACCTATAATAAATCCTAGAATAAGTACTGTAAATCCACCCTGTAGATGTTCAATCGACAATGGACTTACATTTGTTGTTCTAATATCCAAAGAACGTAATAAATGTGCTCGTCTTCTTTTATTAATGGTTGCAAATTGACGTCTTATAATCGAATTAATACCATTTTGTTTAAACGCACTTATAGTATTTGAGAATTTATCAATCAAAGCGAAGCCTTTTAAAGCTAACATTTCAAGTGGAACAGAAAACATATCTAAATCGAATGTGTAGTAGTTATTGTTTCCAAAACTGTCACTAAGTTCGGGCATTACAGAGGACACGTGAGCCAATTGAAGACGACTGCACAGAAATGAAAAATTTCTATGGACAACTACATCGATCAATGCTTGGGTTATATTAATGATATTTATCCATTTTTCACCAATATAATTATCGAAAGGGTCACTTGAATTAACATACAAATCTCTCAATTCTTCGAAACCACCAAATTTCAAATCACTGGCAGCGAGTTCTTCGACTGTTTGAATCTGGTATTCTGATGTTGGGTTTCTCAAAACATCTATAAGTTTAGTATTATAAGCGGTCACTGTCAACACACAATAAATATTGAAAGAAACGTAAAATATGCGTAAAGCTTGTTTAGTAGGACGCTTGTATGATGTTTGGCCTAATGAGCAAAGCCATGTATTAAGAAAACAATGTGGAAAAAGCTTGTTGTATCTAGAATCGTCACTTAAATAGCCCAATATCATCCAAATAAAAACACAAGTAATAAAGACAATTATAAAACAACACCAAACAATTTTTTGAAAAATGATTATAAGGGCTACTGAATTTGGTGACAAGTATGCTCGAGGAACAACCCATGTATAGGTGTCTGCTAAGTAATATGTACTATATTCAAAATCTTCGTGGACATCATAGTCTGGAAATATTCCCCCCAAAAGTATTTGGGCCTTTTTCGCTGTAAGAAATTTCAAAGCACCATCCCATTGACCATTATGATTTCTTTCTCCTCTATTATAGTCAATAATTTCAAATTCTGTTTTTATTTTTATTTGTCCAAATACTTGATTTATCAATATTTTTTCTATATTAGGGTCACCTTTTTTTGCACTAATAAATGGTTGTCGTTGCAAAGCAAGTACATGTATCTGACATCCTAACATGTTATGTGGAACTTTTTCCTCAAAGACATAATTATTATACTTAATGACTCCCTTTTCACAAATATTTTGTATGATTGATCTATTTACAGCAGTTTCATTAAAATATCCACAGTATTTTGGTGGATCGTATGGTCGCCAACTTAGAATTATTGAGTTTCGTATATTTTTTTCTTCAGGCACTATTACAATAATGTTAATTGCATTAAATTTAAATAAGCATGTCAATATACTTTCCACGTGGTTAACATTATTTTTTCTATCAGAAAAATTAAATAGCAACATTACAAATTTCGCTTTTGGGTTCCAAGTCCTTGAACGAATCAACTTACTCGCTAGATGATTGAAATCTTCGTAGCTATCTATAATAATAATGTAGTAATCAGCCACAGGAATTGCTTCATAATGATCCAGGTGAAAATGTTCGTTTATTACTTCTTGATCACAAATCAAAACTTCATTAACTGGACTAGCAATTTGAACTGTATATCTAAGGTCTCTATGAATATATTCTAATAATTCTTTCCGAATTGAAGCAACTGAAGTACTCACATTATTTGTATTTGCAAAAATTACAAGACTCGGTTTTGTAAAGTACATTTCCATTATACTGACTATACAGTTTTTGAAGTCATTAATAACTGTTGGGCCATTTGGATTCAATACTGCTCTAGTTCCATAATTATGTAACAGGACTATAATTGTAATAATTTTGAACATCTCTGATTAAAAGTATAAATGATCCAAATACATTCGTAGTCAAATATTAACTAACAAAGTTACGAATCGTCATCGTGACTAACCTGCATTTCGTGATATTGCTATCTACATAGATCACTACTTTAAATTATTTCATGGAAGATAATAAAAACGCAAAACGATCCTCCCATAATTAGAAATAGAAATTAAAATACGCCTCACTTAAATAAATGCAAATATTAATTATAATAGTGGCTATACTGTCAATACTAAAAGTTTACGAACGTATCCAAATATGTCACACTATACATTTTCGTTAACTTCTTAATCCCTGGAGGTATAAATTGTTTTTGAATTCGTCGAAATTTGATAAGATACCTTAAAAAGGTATTATAAGTATTTAAATATATGTAATATATACACGTACATATGATTATTTGCATATGTTTTATTAACATTAACGTTTTTTATTAGATATACCTATTAAGGAAAATAGCTACCATATTTTTCTTTTCTCCTCTACCCAATAGTTGTCTAGAAGAGATTCCTTTAGCAATAAGACCACCATTTGTACTTCATAAGTGTAAAATATATTTTATTATTATTCTTTAAGTGGTGAAATAAAGAATAAATAAATAAATAAACTAAAAAGAAGAATTGTATATAACATTTTTTCGAAGAGTTGCGTTAATAATCTGTGCGTCCATGCAGAATAAAGAAACGAAAAAAATTATCTATTGCCACAAGAATTTTTTTGATGTCCTACGCGTAACCCAGGCTAAATATATGAAATACGGAATATCTGTTATTATTATTATTAAAATACGGGCGTTTTTAGGCAGAAAACCCTACCCTACCCTAACACTCCGATCTTTCTATAACCTTTTGTGCTCGCCCTTTTTTTAAACTTCGTTGCTAATTCCTATCAATGTCAGGAATTTTAAGATGTTCTTTGTAGGGATGTTTTTATCTACACAGGATATAAAGTGCATTTTCAATTTTTTTTTTTATTTATATCTTTTATGTATGAGTCAGCTACAGTCGCAAACAATGTCGTCATTGTGACAAAATCTGCAAACACTTTTTTGGCATAATCCTAGTTAGGCCATGTGTTTGTATAGTTTGCAATGTCCAGTGAGAGCTCTTGTGAATACACACACTTTTTTTTACTCAAAAGAATTCAGTCAGAACTCAATCAGGAATCTGGAGTCATTTAATCCTGGCAATAAGAGCTAACTATTATTTGCTTTATTTTTAAGCTTTCAAGTTCAAGATGTCTGAGCTTTAGGCTTCAAGGCACACCACAGTAAGGAAACGGACCTATTTCGACATTCTTTGCACCTGCTTTTGCTTTTGGTCAGCTGTTTGATTTCCATAAATGTTTGAGTGGCCAGGGATGCATCTCAAGGAAAATCTAGTCTTTGCATACGAGTATACTTTGTTTCCCTACTATAAACTTTTGAGGAGAGCAATAAATAGTATTTTAAATATAGAAAAAAAAACTAAATAGATAAATAATAAATAGATTTTTAAATGAATGAACTCTTTTATATAAAAATCTTCTGTAAAAGTACAGAATGAGTACCTAATAGTGTTATTATTTCTTCCTTATCTTGCCTTTAAATTTACGGGAGGTATAATTTTTAAAATTATGGAACTATAGATTCAAGGTAATTTGCCAATTATCAACAAATACGCACGCTTCTGAATGCCACTCTTGCTCACTTTTTAAATATATATTTTACTGAATCAGTAATGTTGGGCGGGTATCTAGAGTAATTTAGTTAAAAGGGTCCGTTTGAGGATCATCTGCTAAGTATATGAAACTTTATTCGCAACCACTTATTTTATGGTCACACACCCAAAACTTTGTTTTCTCACGAAACGAATTAGGCAGGTAATTTACGAGTATTCTTTTAGATTAGTTAGCAGACAAAGAAAGAAAGAAATATTTTTATTTAAGTGAACTTAAATTAAGCATTTTTGAATAGTCATTTTTTCATTACAGCTCATTCGGAACGCAATTTCAGCCAAGAATAATGGGCAAGAAACACAGCTGTTGCTCTTTTCAAAAAGTTTAATTATATAAATAAAAAATGTGTGTGAATACAAACAACTAAGCAGTATCAGATCATAAAATATAAAATATATATTATATAATTAAAACAAATCATAAAAATAAATTGATTGCAGTGACCAAAGCAGACCAGTTCCTACAGGCAGCACCCGTAGACATTTAAAGACATTATCAAAAGTTCCATACAATTTCACTACTGTTTGTAGTTTTACTAGCCGTGAAGTTGACTAGAAAAACTACAAAATAAAAGAAAACATTCTTGTTTCGACTATATTTTTATGTTTTATTACGGTATTGATCTAATACTACCATTTTATTGAATTACGTATTATTTTGCCAAAGTTCATATTACTAGTAGTTAGTTTTTTTTTTCTTTTGATGGGTGAAAATGGTATGGTAACCCCGCCTGCGCTAACGGGATACGCTGGCAGAGCACCAGTGAAGGGTAATAGATGAGAATGAAAACAGGCCAGTTAGCCCATCATGATGAATTCACAATGATAGTTTCAAGGGAGAACCGCGAGGAGGTCGACCTGGTTGGGTATATTGCTAGCAATAGGATTCTCAGTCTTCATTACTAACAATCCCTTTCCCCCCTAACTACTAGTACTTAGTTAGTCCATATTACTAATTATTTTAATTTCACAATGATTAGTCTACTAACATTTGACAATTAACTGCTATTATGCCTATAAAAATTTAATTACATTTTTTATATAATAATTAATTTATCCGAATTCTCTTAGTGCAATAATGATTAATTCGTTTATTGAGTAAACTTATAATAAATCCGCCATTACGTATTATATCTTTTAATGTTTCCAATATAAGTTATGTACAATAAAGATTTTACAATACAATACAAAAAACTTTTTTCCATTATGTCACCTTTTTGAAAATGGTATCTATATTATTTTTAGTAAAGATTACAATTTAATAAACTGTATTTTTTTGCACAAACTTTGATGTTTATGGAAGTTATAGTACATGTAACTAGATTACATCAATCTTCACCATCGAACTACGCAGTTTGAAGGACCATTATCCCCATAGAATTGTTACAGCCTCAAATCGTTTAAATTGTTTCATTGATTTGCTTCTAAGAAATCCTTGAAATTGTTCGCAAAATTACATCATCATCATCATCATTTTAGGCATTCATTGTCTGCAGTGCGTACCTAAGGAGACAAAGGTAAGGCAATGACGACTAGTGATTGTTAAATATGTACTTTAAGACATTTTCTTCTGAATAGATAGAAATGATAAATTTGAAGCCATCATAAAATCAATATGGTATAAATCACCATTACGTTTTCTATGATATAAAATTGTCTCTGCATTTATATTTATGTTCTATTTGTATGAATGCATAGAAGAAGAGAATGTGGTAAGAAAGGTAAACAATTTATAAAAGTGGATGATCGTGAGTGCAGAGATAGACCCAGAAAGAGATGGATGGACTGTGTGAACGATAATATGCTGGGAAAGGGACTGAATAATGAAAATGACTACAAATAGTGATAAATAAAAATAGTAAACAAAAAATAATAAAGTGTAAATAAATAAATAAATAAACATAATATTACAGAGACTTTGTACAAAAGTCGATTGCTTGCGTACCTCTGTCCCATTCGTGTTTCTACCGTAAAGCAGTGTGTTTGCATGGCTGTGTTTCGGTTTGAAGGGTGGGATATGGCGTGAATTTATTGGGCACGGAGGAATAACACCTGAGTCCTCAGGAATGACAACGCATGGGAGTATCATGGGGGAAACAGTATACTCTGTTATGTTCCTGGTACTGCTCATGTCTATAGGCGACGGTTACCACTTTCCATCAGGTGGGCTGTCAGCTTGTTTGCCACTCTAAGTTATATAAAAAAAATCTCAAATGGATATGGGGGAGAACTTAAAGAAGATTATGTAAGATTTAAACGCATGGATCAATTTCGATAATTGATTTTAGTCACATAAATTCCTGACTATCTTTATTAAAAATCAATTAATTTTATTGCAGATTCTTAAACCACTTAAAAATTCAAATATAATTTTGTGTGTCTTACTTCACGGTATCTTCGTTAATTATAAAGTGATTATGTTTATTCTCTTTACAGTTGATCGGATTTCACACGTTAATCCCATATTAATTCTGGCTAAAGCAGCTTTTTTCGTATAAAAACCTAAATCTTTAATACTTACTTTTTTATACAGTCTGTTCCTCTATTGTCAAATATTACTTCAGTCGACGTTCGAACTAAATTTATTAGTAATTCATATAAATCTTTGGCGCTTTTAAATCACGACTACTGATAGTAAAGACAATTTAATACATAATTTCGATAGTTTAAATATTATTTATCAAAATATATGTACTCGTAACGTAGCTTTTTGCTCACTTCTTCGTACGCGTGGCATTTCCATGCGGCACGATACCCGAGTGACATGGCATTGCAGAATGATTTCTCGATCACATTAGCACAGAAGAGATCGTAAGCTTGTTTACAGATGCTGCAGTTCCAATACAAATTCTCAATTTTTTTAAAACAACCAGCACATTGTATCACTCCAGAATATATTTTAATTAGTAAATTGGTACTAATATTATAATGCTAGAAAATGCGGTGAAGCAACGAACAGAGGCCGAATAAACTAAAAAGAGCACAATATTTCGCATTGCGCGACATCAATCTCTCGATAAATTGTTATTTTTATAAATTGTTGTTGTTATTGTTAAACACTTTTAAGATTTAATAAATGTTTGAAATTGTAAACATAAAATACGTATAATGATTAATTGTGTAGGCAGGAAGATGCAATCTATGATTTGTATACTTATTCCACTCACTTTACATTTAAACTACTACGTGTATGGTTATGCTCTTTACACTAATTTGAACCAATATAATTGAGGAATAAATTAATATATATATGTTATTTACAGCAATTCAGGTATATCTGTTATTTTTTTTTTACAACAAAGAGGCAAACGAGCATGCGGTTCACCTGATGGTAAGTGACTACCGCCGCCCATGATCACCCACAACACCAGCGGCATTGCAGGTGTGCTGCCGGCCTTTTAAAAAGGAATATACTCTTTTCTTGAAGGTTATGTTGTTGTATCGGTTCGGAAATACTGCTGCTGGAAGTTGATTCCAAAGAATATTATTAAAAGAATGTTAAAACGTACAAAACATGTCTAATCCGTTTGACCGTTCGGACTACCCTCCTTATTTATATTGAATTGATTATTCCAAATAGTATGAAATGTTATATTGTATGAGTATTAATACTAGTAGTCTCTTTTACTAATAAATAAATATATTTCGCCATGTCGACCTCTACGCTGTCCCTTTTGAAACTATCGTGATTAATTTCCGGCTAATCCGGCCAACTGACCTGATTTCAACCTCACCTATCATCTGTTACAAATGCTCTTTGGTTTAACCATAGCAACTAATAACACAAGCAAAGTTATGGTTACATCACATCTATTAAAAATATATCCATACTTTGTAATTTGAATATATTTAATTTGTATTTGTTTTCATATTCTGTGTAGGTCTTGACTTATTTATTTAATTTTTAACACACAAAAACTATGTGTATTAATAATTTATAAATAAGTGTATTTTGTTTTTAATATATATATATATATATATATATATATATATATATATATATATATATATATATATATACGAATAAACAAATACATTTCTGATTTGTTTGTTTGCTCAATGACGTTATTATACATATATATACATTTGTTCGGAGGAGAAGGGATTGTTAGTAATGCGGACTATCAGTCCCATTGCTAGCAATATACCCTATCAGGTCGACCTCCACGATGTCCCCCCTAGAAACTTTCGTGCTGAATTCTAAGTGTATTCATCACGATGGGCTAACTGACCTATCCTTTTATCCTCACTTATCACCCCTCACTGGTGCCCCACCAGCGTATACCGTTAGCGCAGGCGGGGTTGCATTTCCATTATCGTCTATTGAAAAAAAATGCATATGTTTATAGTATCATACATTTATGGTCAGGACAACCGATTTTATAAATATAGCAAAAGATTAGGCTATACGTACTCTTCATAGATATGAAGAAAATGAAATAAAACTACGACGAGACGAGAATTAGTTACGAAAAAAAAATAATGTCATTTGTCATAAGTTATTCTAAGAATTGTGTGTAAAAGTGTATTTAGTTTCCTCTTCTTAACATCCAATTTTATTATTACATTACTTATTTTTCATTGCGTTTATTTTAGTTACGTGTATTGATGTAAATGTAATGTGAACATATCTATGTATGAGATCGAATTTCTTTTTTTTTTTATGATAAAGTTATTTGGTTATTATTTTGGATGGTGTTGTTTTTATTAAGGAGAGACTTTGTGCGGGCACTATGGTATATATGGCTGTTTAGCTGTAAAGTAATATTATTAAAAGGTAACGTCTTTAATGACAAAGTCGACCTAGTTTAATAAATTAATATTAAGTTTCTTGAAAGTGATTTATGTGTTTTTATCATAATTTAATTAAAGTGTAAGTAAAGTTTGTAGCACATTTTTCTATAAATTTTAATTAAGCCTCTTATACATATATTTCGAAATAGTACTAAAAATAACACATATATTTGGGTCGTGATATTACATACATACATACATACATATCTGTCACACCTGTCTCCCATTAGGGTAGGCAGAAACAATGGAACGCCAAATGCTTCGATTCAAACAAACCTCTTTCGCTTCTTCATTATAGGTCAGAAAACCTAAGAAGTGTCACCATAATGGGAGCCATAGGTGTCACAGTATATACCCTCTGATAGCCATGATATTGTTCATGAGTATAGGCAGCAGTTCCATTTACCATTAATGGACTTGTTTCCTTCCTCCATTTCTTTATTTATTTTGTTTTCATTTCGATGAATAGATATGACAAAATTGTTTACGTATACATACCTATTCAGGCGAAGATATTATTCCGATCCAGTCCATCTAGTTATAGGTTTTATTAGTAAAATTACCGTATGTCAAGAGTTTCTATAATCGCCTAGAGATGTATGTAAAAACAGCTTACTGACACTCGTTAAAGCGTAACAAGTGTCAATCACATCTTTTATTATCCGCCTCAGAAAAACAGAAAGATCTAAGAGAAACAGCTTGGAGCGTAATAAAGACAAATTTAATCACGGCACAAACACACACAAACATGTACTCGCACACACGCACTAGCAGCCACGCAAAACACGCACGCGCCCACGCACACCAAACCGGCAACTAGATATTCCGTAGATACTCTACATTGTAAATATTTGAATTTAGAACATGAAATTACATACATAGACTTTGATTTGCAATATTTTTTTTTTGCTGTACAAATAAAAACGTCAGTTTCAATAGTCACAAAATTAAAATAAGACCAAACAAGTTTTATTCTATTAACGTTATTAGAAGTTGAAGGTTTCCAATAAGTCAATCAATCAGGTAAAAATACCGGCGATTGTAAATATAATATCTAAAATGAGATTTTTGCTATATGCCCCTAAAGTTTTTCAATACAAACTTTGAAAGAGCAGCTGGCGGAATTTCTACTTGTCTGCAAACTTTTGCAGAGTTAAACCTTTTAAACGATCGCATTTTAAAAAACTCTGATCTTTTCATTACACACTGCATTACTCATTCTATTGAAATTATTGGAAAATAAATGTGACAATAACAGGGCAAATATAGTCTAAACTTATATAAAATTGTTGAAAATTTACCCCAACTTAATCGTATTAAAAACAATTTGCCATCCGTCAATTTTTACACCCACCCAAATTACTATAATTTTTTAGATCAACAAACCGAAATTAAATAAAAAAATCATATCCAAAATAGAAAGTATATAAATTATTCTCACAATGCAATTGAAAGAAAAGATAAATTCAAGGGCAAAATATCTAAAATAGTAAAAAATATATTTTTTAATAAAATAGTTAAATAATAAAATTCATCCAACCATTTTACAATTCAAAGGTAGCCTTTGACAGGACAACGAATTTAAGACAGTTGGATACAATATATTATGTCTGTTAATAATATTTGAAAAAATATACGAGAAAGTGAAAATTTTGGATTAAAAAGGGAAGATTCGGTCTCATTTTCTTCTTTAGAAAACCCCTGCAAAGCTGGGATGGGCAGATAGTGATAATATACTCATAAATCTAAAAAGAAGTGAAAAATTTTAATCTCTAGTTTCGTGATTCAATTTATCGTGATTTATGAGTGAAGTAAGACTCTTATTTATGAGTTCATTTACTTTACCGCTTCATATCTGGACCTCTACACAGTTTTTATAAAGCACCTATAATATAATTTACCTTCTTATAGGAATAATAGTTTCTTAATAATTACAAGACAAATTCATGAATATTACTAGAAGAAAAACTCAGTAAAATTTACCTAAGTTCAATACTCGAATAAGTTTATACAATGTAAGTCATTATTAGACTATATAAGTCATATATTATTACACATATACTTCTAAATACATATACAAAATACACACACATTGATAAAAATAGAGGCATATATTTAAATAAATATATATTAATATATATAAATAACCGTGTGGTCACAGCATAGAAGAGGCCACCTTTTCCATTCCCCTGTCGTAAAGTCAACTAAGGATATTTAGTGGTCGAGGAATGAACCGCAGCGTCTCTCTTAAAACATTACCAGAGGCTAACTGCATTTACCAACCCATCTGCCAAACGAGGCAACTACGGACAACCCCCCTTCCTTTATGGGGGATGCCTATATTTAGCAACAAACAGTTAACGGCTGATATGATGATCATGATGATATAAAATAATAAATATAAATAAAATTTATAAAATTAAAGAAAATTTGCCTATAAAAATATTATACAAATAGTTTTATGATGTGAGGTATTTTAATTGTTAAACACTTTTCGTGTTACCATTTTATTCAGTTTTGAAATCAATATTTCAAATAGGAAACACAAAAAAAAAACATAAACACGTCTACAGTAGAGCATAAATTGTTTAAAGGACGTGAATAATTCATAAATTATACCAACAATTTAAGGAGCGCTAGTGAACGAGTCTGTTTTGTATAAATTCAAAATACATTCTCTTTTGCAGCTGAAACTTGGGAGCAGACGAGCCCTAGAGCGAATACTTTGTACGATGACGCCGACGACATACAAAAACAATTAGATAATGAAGCCAGAGATAGACTTAAGTATGGACGGGTCAGTTAATACCATCATACTTCTTCTTACCAACAGACCAACCGTTGATAATAAAACATTCTCGTTTCGGTTTATCTTCACCATGGATCATGTTCTCCCTATGTTCGTTTAAGACGGCATGGTCATATATCTATCTATACTTATAATAAATCTCTAGAGAGGTCCATTCTGTATATGAAATATTTTTCCAAAATAACTATCAGGGGGTGTTTAGTGATCGATACTGATGCCAAAAATGCAATCAGTAAAATTTTTGTCTGTCTGTCTGTATGTTCATTATAGAAACAAAAGCTACTCAACGGATTTTAACAAAACTTGGTACGATTATTCTTCATACTCCTGGGCAGGTTATAGTATACTTTTCATCACGCTACTCTTAATAGGAGCAGAGCATCGAAGGCAAATGTTGGGAAAACGGGAGAAGTTACTCCATTTTTAAGCTTCCGTCGCGTGTGCAGCCATAATGACCACTTTTTAAAATGTAAAAATATCTACCCGTGCGACGCTGGGACGGGCCGCTAGTCATGCTTATATTAATAAAAGGCGTGTTTGTATTTCTAACACAAATCATCAGGCTGTGTTTTGATTTAAAGCGTGGAATATGGCAATGAAATTACAAGTAATATAGGCATAATACATTAGTCCTAAAGTATAGCTACGCGTGGAGTTTCGAGACCCAAAAAAGGTTTTTTCCTAAATTGACCTAAACGATAATCGAACCTTACCTAAAAAAAACACCTGTATCACTGCGCCATGAAGTTTAACATTTATGCTAATAAAGTTGAATAGAATATAAAATTTTTACTTTATAAATTATAAGAAAACCAAAGTAAAAGAAGAAACGGTAAATTTACGTTACAACAAAGTTTGTAAGGGAGAATCCCTTACAAACTCTAAACTACACAAATTTGCAAGCCGACTGTTCAATGAACTGTGAACTTTATATTTTCACTAGCTTTTACCCGCCATTACGTCCGTGTGACCGGGATATATTTACTAACTAGGATAAAAAGTAGCCTAGTTTTAGTCTCCTCTATCACATATGATTGTACTAATTGGTTAAACTGTTATAGGGCTATATGGTAGGAAACAAACAAATAAATTTACTTTCACATTTACAATATTAATAAGGATAATACTAAGAATTAAAAAAAAATTAGCAACTTACCTTATTACTTTACCAGAGGGAGACTTTGTACAAAAGCCGATGGCTTGGGTACCTCTGTCCCATTCGTGTTTCTACCGTGAAGCAGTTGTGTTTGCATGGCTGTGTTTCGGTTTGAAGGATGGAATATGGCGTGAATTTACAGGGTACAGAGTTTGCCACACCTGAGTCCTCAGGAATGGCAACGCGTGAGGGATATCGAAACAGTATAGTCTATTATGTAAATGGTACTGCTATAGGCGTGTCTATAGGCGACGGTTGCCACTTTCCATCAGGTGGGCCGTCAGCTTGTTTGCCATTCTAAGTTGTATAAAAAAAACCTTATATAATACCTTATAGAAATTAGTAATTCTCCCTTGTTGTTATAATTAGTGACGGTTATATTAACTTTTCAAGATTTGCATGCCTTTTAAAAGGAATAATACTACAGCACTGCCAGGTGAAACCACCTTGGTATCAACATTGTATATCGGGCTGTATGGAAATAAATGTTCATTCATTCATTTAATTATTCATTTATTCATTCTATGCATATCTAAACATTTGATTGTGTTACCTTACTTATATTTCACTAGCTGTTTCCTGTGGCTTTACATGCGATCAAAGTATACAAAGTATCCTTATATATTATGTTCAGATATAGCCTGCCCGTATTCCAAATGTTGTTTAAATCCATTCAGCAGTTCTAGCTTTTAAGTTCATTTTGTTTTAATCAAAACTTGTTATATAATAAAAGTAAAAATATTTCTTCCATTTCGACACATATCTATAACTCATTTTTTTAATTAATAAACTTAACAAGCATTGCATATATTTACATTTGTTTATTATTTTATTTTAATTTATTTTGTGCACAATTATTCTTGACAATACAAACATAATTATAATTTTTTAAGGCAACATCTGGTGATAAAGAGTTAATTAGTCAAAAAACAAATTTTACATAATATTATTTTAAGCATTCCCTAACGAGCGTTAAATGTTCATTAAGATTCCATTTTTTTTTGTATATAAATGATTGGTCCTAACCTGACTTGACAATCCACTTTACATATTTTTTTTATACCACTATGGTGGCAAACAATCATACGGCCCACCTGATGGTAAGTAGTTACCGTAGCCTATGAACACCTACAATACCAGAGGTATTACGCGTGTGTTGCCGACCCTGAAGAAACCTCTTTACCCCTCTTTTGAGGAACTCCATGCTGTAGTCCATCTTATCATCATCATCATCATATCAGCCTTTAACTGTCCACTGCTGAACATACGCCTTGGGGGATTTTACCAGTAGTTACCATACTTGGCAGGCGGATTGGCAACCGCAGTCAGGCTGTACAGATGTTTTAAGAGGAACACTACTGCCTATCCCTCGCCCTTCTTTAATCGGCTCTCACGACATCAACGGGAAAGGGAGAGGTGGCCTACTCTATGCCGGGACCACACGGACATTAATTAACACGGACGTTAATTATAGATCTTATAATTAACGTAAGATGAAAGCCAATATCGATTTTATTCAATATCGATTTTAATTCTGAAATATCCTAAAGTTACTTTGTTTGTTATCTCTAGGTACCTTTAATAGTTCAACTAATCCATATATGTGACGGAAAAGGTCTCCTTTTTCCCTTATATACATGTATCCTGGTTACACAGATGAAAATAGTAATATGTATGTATAACAAACAAGTTAGTAACATCAAACAAAAAAAAACCAAAACAGATAATGTTATAGTAAAACATACGATCCTTTCATTTTTAGAAAAAAAAAATAACTCTATGTTATTCATAATAACCTATCAAACCTTTCTTAGTAGATACCTAGACTGCCATTTCACCTTTAGTCTAGTTCATATAATAATATTATGGTGGAAACTGCGCGTAAAATATCAATTTCATATTCAGAAACTCTCTAAATATTGAAAGTAGGTTTATTTTTGTTTACGCATTCATGAATAATATGGTAAATAGACTTAGCACGACTTTATATTATTATTCAAAGTACTTGTACTTTGTTTCACTGTGTTTATCAATTTTTTTTTTACTATTTATATTTATTTATTTATTTATTTACACTTTATTTATATACAGTAAATATTAATGAGAAGTGATACAAAAAAAATATATACGCGACAAGTTTCGAAACTTTCAGGGGTATATACTTTGATAGGTTACGACCTTATCTCGATCCACTTTCTATGTAAGAGATTTATAGTCTGCGTTCTAAAAATACAGGGAGTCACTTCACATATTTTTTACACAATACATCCCATTGGGTCTAAGTGCACTTAGCTCTACCCTACATAATCTAATAATATGCATTCTTCAGAGACAAATGTCTCCGTAATATAAAAATAACTGGCAGCCGACAAGGTTTGATACTAAAAGAACTATGTTTAGTGTCTCCTTGCTTTTTTCCGGCTTGACAAGACAACTGAAAGTGATTCGAATGGTAACAGACAGCTTTGTCATCTTCATAAGGAGTACATTCTTCAATTTAGGTTTTCAATTATTTCTAGAAACTTTTTTAAATCAAATTATTCGTTTAGTTTTTTTTTTTTGTTTATTTAAATCGAAAAATTCTAATTTAGGTCATACAAATTAAGCACTTTTATTTTACTAATTAGAACTATATTTTATCTTATTTCAGCCGAAAACAATTTGGGTATTTCACTTGCCTACGCAGTTTCCGGATTTAAATGCGAAAGACGTTTCAAGCGATTATAGGAATTTTGTGAGTATTCCTTAATTATCGTTCAGGTAATATATTTTCTTTTTTTATTCTAATAATAAACGTACAAGATCTTTGAATATTGTACATAAATGTACTATGTATCGAATAAATATACGCAATAAATAAAAAAATAATAAAAATATTATGAAGATGACACAATAACAATTTAACAATAGTAAACAGATAAAAAACAAAAAAAAATGGATATGGTATAATCTATTTTTTATTATGAAAAGTCAACAGCTAGAAAATTTCATAATAAAAAAAAGACATTAAAAACAAAAAGTCAATTACAGGTTTTCACAAATAAAAATAAGATTTAATTAATTAATACACATGACATCACTAACACTTACAATCAACTAATTTAAACTTAGAATAACAACATTATAGTTATACAAACATTATAGACAGGCAGTTATGCAAAATAAAACGTTGAAATAATACTATCACAGTATCGCAGTATCTCTAGTATGTCAGTCAATTCAATTTCATTGATGCACTACATTGAATAGGATATGCCATAAAAGCTGATCCCCAATAATCGTATTATTTAGCTACAAAAACTATACTCGCTTAATTGCATTTTGCAGTGTTCCGTTCCATGGATAGTTAAATAGTTGAAACGGGACCCTTATAACTTTGTTAGCCGTTACGATGAAACTGCAATATGTCATTTTCGACAAAATTATAATGTACATATAGAAAAAAATATATGCCATTTTAACGACCCTTGACCTTTCCCCTTTCTCTTTTTTCTCTTTATTACAAAATAAAGTTTAAAGATGAAGGTTTTTAACCAATACCTGTTGCTAGTCATGACCTATGGAACATAAACATGGTGCTGCACGGTTGCTCATATGCAAAATCTTAAATTTACACAGCATGCTATCGATAGAGAGTTGGAGTTTCTTAGCGTGACAAAATCCGAAATGAGGATATCCGCAAAAGAACCAAAGTCACCGACATAGCTCGAAGGATAAGCAAGCTGAAGTGGCAATAGGCTGGTCACATAGCTCGAAGACCCGACAATCAAATGTACGGGAAACGTAGTGTAAGACGACCCCCACTAGATACAGTGACGACCGCGAATGCATTGCAGGAAGTCTGTGGATGCCGGTGGCTCAGGAACGTTCCATGTGGCATCTATGGGGGGGGGGGGGGGCTATGTTTAGCAGTGGATGGCTGAGATGATGATGATTAATACAAATTAGTCTAAGCCATTTTGGATTTTTTATTTTATTTATTTGTAAATAAAAAAATAATTGCTAAAATAAACTTTTTATTTATTCTAATTTCCAGTTGTCTATAGATAGGTATGTAATGTTTTAAATACAATCTTCTATACTTATAATAAATCTGTAGAGGGATCAATTCTGTAGATGAAATACATTTCCAAAATAACTATCAGGGGGTGATTAGTGATCGTTACTGATGCCAAAAATGCAATCAGTAAAATTTTTGTCTGTCTGTCTGTATGTTCGTTATAGAAACAAAAACTACTCGACGGATTTTAACGAAACTTGTTACTTATTCTTCATACTCCTAGGCAGGTAATAGTATACTTTTCATCACGCTACGATCAATAGGAGCAGAGCAGTGAAGGAAAATGTTGGGAAAACGGGAGAAGTTACTCCATTTTTAAGCTTCCGTCGCATGTGCCGCCTTAATGGCCACTTTTTAAAATGTAAAAATGTCCGCCCGTGCGAAGCCAGTACGAGCCGCTAGTATGAAATGAATTGTAATACCACTAATATATATTAATAAACATATATAAACCACGAAAAAAGTTATCTAAATATCAAAAATATTTATCTTTTATTATTTATTATAATTATAAGGGATGAGAGTGTACTGAACCTCATACAGTTTGAATGTACTATACCATAGATACTCACAAAACTCCAAACGAGTATGTATATTTTACTGTTATGAGAGTTAAAATTACGGCGTTTTGATAACGAATAACAGTAACTATCAGATTAATGGGTATACCAGTTTAATAACTTATACTTGTAAACCCCTTAATAAAGGTCCGATATGACCTCTAACTCAATATAGTGAACAAAATTACTTTATCAATAACTATATGTAAACTTAAATTTAATTCTCTTACCATAAAATATTAAATTAAATTTGGCACTAGTTGGGGCTACCTTTTTATTGTTGGCAACACCAGCAAACAAAATTTAAGTTATTATGTGAACACAATTGTAAACTAATGTCCCTCTTTTTATATGTTGAATGCCATCTTCTGTGTATGACATTGTTCCATTCATCCATTTAGTAAATTAATAGTTTAGAGTTAAGTGACCCCCCCCCCTGTACATGATGTTATAATATCATTACCCCTGCGTTCAATCCAGCCTGAAATATCACCAACAAATCCGCATTGCAGCGTTCATCGTTTCATTATCGTATTTATGTAATTTTGTGGTTATGTAGTTCTACAGCCATGTGACATGCCGTGTTTAATTGCCGTGTGGTCCCGACATAGAATAGGCCACCCCTTCCTTTTCCATGGCTGTTGAAGGAAGCGACTAAGGAAGGATTGAGAAATAAACAACAGCGTCCCTTTTAAAACATCACTAAGGCCTAACTGCAGTTTGCAAACCGTTAGCCAAGGGTGGCAACTATGGGCAAACCTTTCTTACAGGAGAGCCTCCCCCATAAGAAAGATTTTGCCAGTAGTTGCCTCCCCTGGGGAGGTTTATGTTCAATAGTGGACACTTAACGACTGACATGATACGATGATATAACATGTAAAAACTGTAACCTTAGTCGCCTTTCAAGACACCCACTGGAAAGGAAGCTGTAGATCATTCTATGCCGGGACCACACGACTCACATGAGATATTATTTACAAATATATTCTAGTTTTTAGTAAATTTACTGTATGTACGTAGTGTTAGTGTTAGGCACTTGTTTAATATATAAAAAAAAAACTTTTTGCCACACACCGGAGTTTTTTATTTTATATTTTACACAGTTACCAGTGCACTTTTAACTAATTTGAAGGTTCACTTTGACTCGCGACGCGCGAGACCCTTGGTTCAGGGTTTTATTGAGGCTGGATAATAAATCTAACTAGTTAATTTTACTTGCCAGACTGGCAGGCGTAAACCAGGTCGGTAGCTGGGCAGTAATTTGACTAGCTAAATTACGACTGACTGATTTAGAGTTTGTATTAGTTTATATAGGCATAATACTGCTGATTTAAATGGAAATAAATGATATTGCTATTCAGCAATAATATATTGTAACAGTACGTATGCCAGTAATTAAATTGGTAAAAAAATCTTTCACGACAAACACACAACTTTACTTCTGCTATATATATATATATATATATATATATATATATATATATATATATATATATATATATATATATATATATATATATATATATATATATATCGTTCTATATTTTCATCTAATTCTTTTCTTGCTTAATTTGAATCACTAACTCATATTTTTTTATAAATTAAAATGATAACTAACTTGAGAACAAAAATATCTAAGTATTGTATTAAGATAATCTTTTAATATGAAAATCACGACATCAAAACAAATTATACTTTCAGAACTCATTAAGACAGTGGAGAAGGGAAAACGACGTGGAAATCTTATCTTACACTCCAAGTAATTGTTTATTATTGTGAGTTTATTGCCATCAAAGTGTCACCAAGATATCTAGACTTCTCAAGTTGGATAAAATCTTAAGTCGCTGAACCCTTAAATTAAAACTGTCACAGAAGAATACAGAAATTAAATATCCAGGTGGAAGTGGCATCTGATTATTACTCTATGATTATGATTCACTTAACTCGCTGTTTTATAAAAACAATGATAATTAAATACAATAACAATAATAATAACTCACCGTGTGATCCCGGCATAGAATAGGCTACCCTTACATCATAAGCCTCCTCCCCTTGGGGGGTTTTGTCAACAATTAACACGCTTGGTACGCAAGGTGGCAACCGCAGTTAGGCTTTGGTGATGTTTAAAAGAGACGCTGCTGCCCCTGCCTCGGCCAATAAGTTCTCTAAGTCGCCTTTATCGATACTCACGGAAAAGAAAAGGCCACCACTTTATGTGTTTTTATGCCAAGACCACATGGTTGAACTACAATAGAAGTCCTGTGGAGTACTCTAATAAGAAAAGTACATTATTGCAGTATTGTCTCATTCGCGAAATGAATTATTATCAGTGTCACTTCTACCTAGTCTGTTTATTGTCATGGCCTAAACAGACGGAAGATAGTACTGATGGCCACTTTTTGTCGAAAATAAAAACATAATTTGTATGACTAAGGGAAAGGGATTTTTGTTAATGGTGGCTAAATTTGCGATATAGCTTATCAGGTCGATCTCCACGAGGTTCCTATATGAAACCATCGTGCTTAATTCTCGAATTCATCACGATGGGTTAACTAACCAGCTTTCATCCTCACTTATCATCTTTCACTAGTGCTTTGCCAGCCTTTATCTATAGTGCGGGCAGGATTACTACTTGATCATTACCTATTAAAGAAAACTTGTACAAGTATTTTATACTACATTTAAAGTACGAGTACAAAAAAAATCCAAATATTTTTTTATGCAACTTAGAATGCCAAACAAGTTGGCAGCCCACCTGATGGATAGTGGAAACCGTCGCCCATAGATATGAGCAGTACCATGTACATAACAGAGTATACTCTGTTATGGCAACGCATGGGGGGTATCATGGGCGAAACAGTATACTGTTTCGCCCATGATACCCCCCATGCGTTGTCATTCCTGAGGATTCAGGTCTTATTCCTCTGTACTCTGTAAATTCACTGCCATATCCCACCTTCCAAACATGCATGCATTGGGGGGGGGGGGGGCAGTTTGCATGGGGGGTAATGATAATATAATAAAAAAAAATATAATAACACTTTCCACACTCCAGAAAATTCTCTCGTCTCAAAAGATCGTCAGAAAAGTCTCTCGTCTGTTTAGACCTTAAATGTTCGCTTTTTGGTAGTTCATAAAATGTAGAAGTTTCATTAGTGGATTCTACAGGTCATTTAGATTTCTAGATAAGTAATATTATTTAGTAAATAGTAAAACATTGTTTCTGAACATAATGGCCGTGTCGTCAAATAGTTAATTATATTGAATTAGGTAAGTATACTCATATGTCAACAAAGTTTTAGGGACAGAATATTAAATTTGCTCTTACAAATCTTCCGTTCCTCGAAGTTCGCCGCTGTAGGTATTAAATTCCTTATTTATAATAAAATTGTTCAGATTTTCACAAGCAGATGTCATTTTAAACGACTTTTCAAAAGAGGAAGTTCTTGTTCTTTAAGATTAGTATGAGGGATACTATGGGTGACACAGTATATTCTGTGAGGTCGACGGTACAGATGATGTGTATAGGTGACGGTCACCACTTTGAATTAATCGGGCCATTAGTTTGTTTAATTTCTAAGTATCATAAACAATAGATATTTTCAAAATTTCATTAAAATCGATTATAAGAGTTTCTAAAAAAACGATATACAACTCGATTTACTATTAAAACTACAATATTTCCGGAACCATAAAACCTGCACAATTGAATTTCGAAGGTTGCCCGCATTATGTGGGCATCCAAGGGGTCCCACGGGGGCGGACAGCGAAAATAGCCGGGCCCTCACTGACGGCGTGGAATTTCTTTTACTAATAGTATTAGTTTGGTAACTTATAGCTTGCCTTTGTAAATTTCATACTTTAAGTTTTGCTACACAATAAACGAACTATAAAATAAACAATAAATATATTTTGAAGTCTTATGGTAATAATATAGAATAAATACGGGAGTGAACTATATTAACTGCAATAAGAATCATTAAAAGTGATGAAAATTACGATGAAGTCGCGTAACAAATGTACATAAAAAAATTATACATCTTGTTCGACTAAAATGGAATTATTCTGACAACGTTATATCTATCAATTGCAAAAAGAGTCGTACTAATTAGTTCAAGTCTATTAAATAAAAAATGATAATCAAAATCAGTTTTAATTTGGCGATTTTATCGCTTAATAAATGTACACACAAAATATATGCGAACTAAGAAACTCTCCTTTGAATTCGTAATATTCATATTATAAATTTGAAAGTTTGTAACGATGGATAGATGAATGTTTGTTACTCTTTTAAGTAAAAACTACTGAACTGATTTGAATGAAATTTGGTATACGGATAGGTAACTTAAGGTATCATAAATTAACATGTAAGATACTTTATATACTGTACACGAGAAAAGCTGCGGGATATAGCTAGTACAATTAATATTGTGTTGTTTTTGAAATAAATTTTTAATTAAAACCATTTTAGTAAAAAGATTGTCTGATTGAAATAAATACTTTACCGAATTGTGTTTCAGTTTCAGCTGTATCTCTAAAAGACTGGGATTATGAAGGTAAGACCTTGTCAAGTTAAATTTAATTGTTAAAATTATTATACAAGCTACCCACAAAATTCTTTGAAATAAACTATTCACTTACCATTTTATTATCAGCCATAAAAAATGGACCGTGTGGTCCCGGCATAGAATAGGCCACTCCTTCCTTTCCCATGACTGTCGTAAGACGCGACTAATGGAACTTAATGGTCGAGGGATGAGCAGCAGCGTCCCTCTTTACACTAACTGTGATTGCCAACCCACATGCCAAGCGTGGCAACTACTGGCAAAACCCCCTATTAAGGGAATGCCTATTCAATAGTGGACAGTTAACGACTGATATAAAAATCCTCATCATGAAAAATATTTAAAAAGTAAAAAAAATCTTCAGGCCAAGAAAAATGGGCAGTTCTGTACCCACAGTGTGGGGGGCATTCACAGTCACCAGTAGATGTGCCAGTCGACAGGCTGATCACGACGAAGGGCGCCAGCCCAATCCTGTTCTACAATTACAACGCAGTACCAACCTCGCTCACATTGGAAAACAACGGCAAGAGCGGTAAATTTAATTTTAATATAATTTATACATTATTTATGTACATAATTATTTATATAATTTATTCATCAACGTAACCGGAATATGTTTACTGACCGGGATAAAAAGTTGCCTATATATATAGTACGTGTATATCAAATTTCAAAGAGATTGATTAAGCCCTTAAGGCATCATAAGGTAAACAAATAAATGTGCTCACTTTGATATTTATAATATATCCTCAAAAATAGTAAATTAAATTAAATTATTCTCATTCTTATGCTCATTCTCATTCCCATTCCCATTGCCATTCCCATTCCCACTCTCACTCTGACTCTGTCTCTCTCTTACACACTCACACTCTTATTCAATTCTGCCCTAAATTAAAATGGCGTATATTACTCCATATTTTTTTATTACTATCTTTCCAATGATGCTGAAGACTGGTAACATCTGGACTAATTTTACTAGTAGTGGAATAATTTTAATAGTTTTACCCGTGATTTTGTCCGCGTGACCAGGAATTGACCGGAATAAAAAATAACCTGCATATTTTTCCTCTCTGATGTCGATTGTTATTTTTGCTTAATAATGTTACTATCATTATGAATGTGAATTTGAGTTTGTAAGTTTGCTACCTTATAGCACCTTAATAACTTAACCAACCGCTATGAAAATTGGTATACACATCTTATATTGAATGGAGAAGAATATAGATTAAGAAAGGAGTTAATTATCTGCTTATTTATGTACAGATATGTACTTGTAAATAAACTGCGCTCAGTAGGAATAAGTAGAAATGAATTTCCATTCATCTCTATCAGTGGAAATAGGTGGAAGAAAATTCCACTCTTACCAGCAAACATTGCTAGGAACAAGTGGACTTGGCATTTTTTATTCCAATCAGTAAATATATTCTGGGCACGCGAACAAAGTCGTTTGGTAAAAGCTAATATTGCAACAAATAAGAATAAGCAAATTAGGAATTTAAAAAATTCTGTATTAATAATATGTTTCAAATATCCAGCTAAATGAGGTCACTCATAAACGATAAACAATGTTTAAAACTTTATCAAGGAACAGCCTAAATAGTAAATGGCGCTATAAAAAAGCAATGACCGACATTTTAAAAGTACTATCACAGCAAATAGAAATTCAGTATCCCTTGTAAGATTTGTTTAGTATAGTAGTAACATATATATGCTTACTTTTCTATATATATTATATATACGACTTTTGTATAGTCTACCTATGATATTATATATACCGAGTTTACCTATAAGTTCTGTTACAAATGAAAATGCATTTTTATATAAAGTAATGTAATAATATTAAAATTTATATATTTATTTTATAATTTATTTATGTAAGGTTTTAAAATTATAAACGTGTTCCAAATTCAAAATAATTAAAAAGTTGTAATAAAGAAATGTTTTTCTGTAACAGTATTTATGGCCAGACTCGTTATATATGCTACGAATTAAGAGCAAACATTTCCTCAGCAATATTTCCTCTTCAAATCGTAAGATACATAGCCTTGCAAGTCCTCAACCGCGGAGACACGGTTGAGAGAAACAAAGTTACCTATCCATGCAGACGACTTTACAAAGGCTCCCTCTAATTAATTGAAATTCTACATAATACTAGCCATAATTTGCGGCTTTACCTGAATTATTATTATATCATTACGTAATATTAAGGTATTTTTTATTTGTGTACCAAATTTAATTTAATTTCTTTAAACCGTTCAAGTGTAATTAAGTAATAGTCATCCAAACAACTTAACATCTTACAAACTTTCACTTTAATTAAATCTCTTTCCTCAAAATGCAAATTTTAAAATCTTTTTCCATTTTTATCACTGGAATAACTTCAAAAATCGTGAATTATGGTGAACATTTTTTACCGTCTGTCAACAGCAAGAAGAGAGGAATTATCTCCGCTATTAGCAAATATTGTTCGTTCCTTTTTATAAGTGTCATAAAGTTTGTGACGCCGCGGACGTGAATAGCCAACTTTTTACAGTTATGAAAACTCTGTCAGCTGTGCCCCTAACTAAAGTTCTTCTACAGATAACAACTCGGTCAAGTGCGAACGGAATTCATACAGTAAGCATTTTGTATACAAAATTATCAAATATTATATACAAGGTTCAAGCCTCACCTCTTTTTATCTCTCTAATTACATATAATATTATATCAGCCTTTAGCTGTCCACTGCTGAACATAAGCCTTCCCCTAGAAGGTTTTGCCAATAGTTGGCACGCTTGGCAGGCGGATTGGCAACCGCAGTTATACTTTGGAGTTGTTTTAAGAGGAACACTGCTGCCCATCCTTCGCCCTCCCTTAATCGCCTCTTACGACTTCCACGAGAAAGGAAAAGATGGCCTATTCTATGCCGGGACCACACGGGAACCTCTCTAATAAAATATAAACATTATTTGCAGTTGCTAACATATAGTTATAGGTAAATAAATAGTATATCGTCATAGTCGTAGAATACTGACGGATCTGACGAATATTACATATATAGATCCGTCAGTATTCTACGACTGTACGATATGTTTGGGCTAGTATAATATTGATAATCCGATACCGTTCGCACCGCACTGCTTAAAGGTCGTTTACTACGTAAGAGGGTGCTTTTTTTTAATAGATGAAAATGGGATGGTAACCCTGCCCGCGCTATCAGTATACACCGACGAGGCACCAGTGAAAGATACTAGGTGAGAATGAAAGCAGATCAGTTGGCCCACCATGATGAATTCGACAAGAATTAACCATGATAGTTTCCAGGGAGAACCGCGTGGAGGTCAATCTGAGAGGGTCAGTTGCTAGCAACGGGGCTATTAGACCTCATTACCAACGATCCCTTTCCCTCCGTAAGAGGGTGCTGTCTGGGATCGGATATAAAAAAAAAACAATATGGCGTTGGCGGGAAAAAGTGATCTTGGGATGTTAGAAGCATATACTCCGTACTGTGTATTTCTTTTAGAACAAGCGACATTTAAGTGAAATTCTTTTTTTTTATACAACTTAGAATGGCAAACAAGCTGACGGTCCACCTGATGGAAAGTGGTAACCGTCGCCTATAGACATGAGCAGTACCATGGACATAACAGAGTGTACTGTTTCGCCCATGATACCCCCTATGCGTTGCCATTCCTGAGGACTCAGGTGTTATTCCTCTGTACCCTGTAAATACACGCCTGTAAATAAACCACGTCATAGTTTGCTATGACGTGGTTTTGTGTTCAACTTGATAGATGTCATAATAAGACTAAGTTTCTATTCGTTTATGTCGTGGACATGTGAAGTACCTTACGTCACGCCACCCTATTTTAATATAAGTTGGTATCAGTTTCGTTAATATGTAATTGATGACTTAAGAAAATGTTCTGTACATCTGTAATTGATGTAAATGCAAGATGCAAGCCCTGTATATCGGGGGGAAGGGATTGTTAGCAATGGAGTTTGACAGCCCCATTGCTAGCAATATGCCCTATTAGGCGACCTCCACGTGGTTCCCCCTGGAAACCATCGTGAACAATTCTTGTTGAATTTGTCACAATGGGTTAACTGACCTGCTTCATCCTCGCCTATCATCCTTCACTGGTGTCCCACCGGTGTATACCGATAACGCGGGTGGGGTTACCGTTCCATTATCACCCATAAAAAAAGCCCTGTATATCAATTAAAATTAATGTCTGTATTTACATTGTTGATGTATCTTTGAAAATAAATAAATAAGTTTTCTGCATGCTCCGGAGCTCGTGAGGATCGTTACGCTGCGTGGTGGAAGACAGTAGCCCAAGGAACCCAAGGACATTAGCCAGATGAACCAGCTCATCAAAGAGATGCGGTTATTTTAAATTGTTGCGAACGGCATACCGGTCTGGAAAGTCACGTTAACCACCATCTCTGCCGACTCCTGAACTTTTGGTTTTTCACCCACACAATATAACAAGTACTCATATAATTGCTATAATTTTTCTGCATGTTACGAAAAAAGTAAGAACATAAATGCACAACTAAAATGGCGTGTGTGCTACAATAATACAAAACAAAGAACGAAAAGAGAACAAAAGAATAACCACAGACAAACAGACCTAGTCGTACTATAAAGGTTTATTTTCACTTTTTTTTTTATACGGAAATCTAAAAAGGTATTGTTTTACTAAGTAGGTCGAAGTGATAAATAAGACAAAGAGAATTAATACGAACACCGCCCAGATATTTGCATTTCTTTTTCCCGTTCCAAAAGATTGAGCCGCCAAATTGCACAGGAAAGTTTTCAATATCGTCCCGTGAAATTTTATGACATTGAATTTCCTTGGTGCCAACATTTTGTTAGTAAAACATGATTTTTATTGAAAATGTTTACCGTTTCTCGTGTATTGACAGATTCAAATCTTCTGCAAATATGAAACGCTTTCTACAATATATCTCCAACGCTCTATACATTTTCTATTGAAAATACTTTAACAATGCATATAGGTCAATAAAGTGTCATAAAATGTAAACAAATATATAGGGCTTGGGTATCTTTAGATCATAAATTGCCCTGTCAGAGATAGACGCATAAGATCGAACAAAACGGAAAAAATAGCACGAAAGTTGGTCCGGGCTACAGTTGGGATTAAAACTAGGCAGAAGAAATTGATAAAAATCTTATATGAAGATAATACATAGTAGTACATATATACATTTATTATATAAGTAGGTAGGTATCATATGTATTTATAGTGTATGTATTTATGTAATATTTTATTATATATTTTATTTAACTGTATATTTGTTTATGTATTAATGGTTGTAGCACTTCATCTGCCCGCTAACGAAATGTTTTCTTACTGTACTGGGTTGACTGGAAGAGATCTCTGTCAGAGATAAGTCCACCCTTGCTCACAACATTTATAAATACATTATTTTATATGTAACTTACAAGTGCAATAATAAAGTATTAGTACTTAGCCTCGAGATTTGGCTATAATACTTGATATGAAATACGTGCACATTATAGTGATTAATGTAATTAAACTAATCATAGCATTATGTTAATGTTTTATTCTGATATATAAGTTGTTTAGTGAATTATGGAGTGACATATGCATGAATATTAATAATTTACCAGAGGGAGACTGTACAAAAATCGATTGCTTGGGTAGCTCTGTCCCATTCGTGTTTCTACCGTGAAGCAGTTGTGTTTGCATGCCTGTGTTTCGGTTTGAAGGGTGGGATATGGCATAAATTTACAGGGTACAGAGGAATAACACCTGAGTCCTCAGGAATTGCAACGCATGGGGGGTATCATGGGTGAAACGGTATACTCTGTTATGTCCATGGTACTGCTCATATCTATAGGCGACAGTTACCACTTTCCATAAGGTGGGCCATCAGCTTGTTTACCATTCTAAGTTGTATAAAAAAAAAGAATATTTTAGTATTCATGTGTCTCTCTAAGTGATAAAATCCGAAGTGAGGATATTCCTTTCAAATTTTATTTTATTACGTGACAAATAAAACGTAATTGAGTTTACTCTTATCGATAGTGGATCGCGGACGATGGGATTAGAAGTCCGTGATTGCCATTGTAAAATTATTATTCCGCGTACCACACAGTATACAAAATTGTTTGCATTGTGTGGATTATAACAATATTTCTTTATTCAAAAGCACATTACGCCTTCTATAAGCACCGTATCTTTTTGTACTATTATTGTTATGTAATCTATGGCAATAATAATAAAACCAGTAGCTTAATAACATAGTTTTATGAGTTATTATTAAATGTCTCCTATTATCAGTCTAGTATAATATCCGGAATTATTTGGATAAGTTGTTTTCAAGTGTGAAACCTTACCTATCATTTGAGATATTACTGGTAATCTATCATATTTTGTTTCATACGTATATAATATCTGATTAGATATAATATGATGCTACTGGATGAAGTTGAATTATTTTCATGGAATCATATTACAAGTGACACGTTTTGACGTTTTTGTTAATGAAATATGAGTTAGAGGTTAACTAGAAATTGCATCTCCTTTATTAATATGACGCGTCTAGGTGGTGGTGATATGGGAAACCCTAAAACTTTTTTTTTTAAATAGGATGGGAAGATGATGATGTGTTTCTGTATCTCTGTATGATCTTTATTCCATTTGCTAGTACTTTAGCTTCTATTCGTTAAGGCCCTTCATTTATTTTTTTCTTAAGAGCATTCATTATCTTTAATTTAACGAAGTGCGGCAAATTTACAATTATCTGTCAATTTTCAAAAACAATTAAAGGATTTTCAATATTTCGGATTGAATATTTAAAAAGTGCTCTTTTTACGAGTTAAACATTAATCATAGAATAACATACTTTTAAGTTATCACTGAAAATTTGGATATTAGTAAACAAGTATTTGAAAGAGTTCAAAGCAAAACATGAAGTATATGCTGTATAAATGTACTTTATGTTTAAGGTTTTAATTCGCTAGTAAAGCACCTTTTAAATAATTACTATTTATTCATTTATTTATATGCTTTTGTGCATTCACTAATAATATAGATAATAAGGTATACCAAAATGTACACAGGCGGACTTATCCTTGAAGGAGACTTCTTCCAGTCAACCTTGATAACACGAAAGGAGAAAGTATTTATAGGGTTTGTTTATAAGGCATAACATATATGGTGAAAAAATTATATTACACTTTAAATAATATATATAAACATAGAATAACTATTATACATATAATTAACTTAACTATCAATTGTATTATAAAATATTTTTTTGAGCTTTGAAAGCAAGAACGGTCTTCACCATTCTGGTATCATTTGGAAGGAAATTCCAGAGTCTAGCAGCTTGCAGATCAAAAAATTTTATGTAGGTATGGGAATTGTGGATAAGTAATTCCAATGTATGATGTTTTAGACTACACACACGGAGATCGGGGATTCTAAAGGAAATTTTTTCTTGAAGATAATCTTTCTGATTGAAACTTCTTCAATTGTTTTTAAAAATTAACAGATGATTGCAATGTTGCTCTTAATCGTGTCCTGTATTATACAGTTTTTTTTTTTTTTATGAGTGAAAATGGTATGGTAACCCCGCCTGCGCTAGCGGGATACTCTAACGGAACACCAGTGAAGGGTGATAGATGAGAATGAAAACAGGCCAGTTAGCCCATCATGATGAATTCATCAGGAATTAACCATGATAGTTTCTAGGGAGAACAGCGGGAGGTCGACGTGGTTGGGTATATTGCTAGCAATGGGATTCTCAGTCTCCATTACTAACAACCCCTTTCCCCCCTGTATTGTACAGTTATCGTCTAGTTACAATTGTTATGTAGCAGTAAGATGTAAGTAGATATATGTTCAGTAGTTACGTATTCACACATCAATTCTAAGATAATGGCATTAAACATGTTACAGTATACATACATATTATTAATTATCTCAGATTATTCTCTGCATAGGAATTTCTGATTTGAATAGATAGTCTTTATAATTAGGTCTTGGATATTCTGTGTTAATGGCATAACTGAAAGTAAAACAATAGCGTTATTGTTCTTAGTTCTGGTCAGACCTTTATCTGGTTATTGTGTTAATTTTGGTTGATAGAAATTATTAGAGTACTAACTAGTTTCATTGAATAAAGCAATTTGGGATTATAATTTTATTAGATGATAAATAACAAATTGAAATGTATATATGTTTATCATCTGGCAAGATCAAAACTTTGTAAACATTTATCTGACATAAATGTTCCTTTTTTAGGGTAATACAATTGTTTATCATCTGGCAAGATCAAAACTTTGTAAACATTTATCTGACATAAATGTTCCTTTTTTAGGGTAATTAGTAAACAATGTATTTATAGATCTTATTTAGAGATCGCACTTGTATTTTACAATAACGCCCGCATTGATACTATGTAAAATAAATAAAGTAATAGCACAATCAGTATAGTCGCTATTTTCTATAGTATGGATTTTTGAGGTAGAATAATAAATAATCAAAACTGTACAGTTTGAATCAAACTGTAGATCTTTAGTTTATTGAAATGTGCATAACTATTCTGAACCTATATTCTTGCCACTCAAATTTTTCGCCCATTTGTTGTCAGTAAGTTCTTTAAGCTATATTATCGAGTATTATATGTTGCTATGCTATACCACGTCAACTTTTTTTAGGTTACCTTAAATAGCAAATAAGTTGACGGTCCTCCAAGTACAAACTGATGCAAAACACTATAATGGCTATGGTTACCATTGTATCCTTCATATGTTGCTATTATGAAGAATTTAGATATTATACCTTATGTAGCCCAGTTATTCTATTGTCATACCTTATTTACTTTTAATTCTTTTCTTTTCTAGTAACACTTCGCGGAGAATGGAAGAATAAATTAAGGCCATTAGTTTATGGCGGAGCTGCACACAGTCGACGTTACGTCTTCCACTCCCTGACGCTCCACTGGCCTTCTGAACATACTGTAGGGGGCCTACAGTATCCACTAGAGAGTCAAGTTTTGCATATATCAGCTGAATACAGAACTTTAGAAGAGGCACTCGAAGCATACGCAAGAGATCCTCAAGCTATACTTGGTATTGTAAATTTGTATAAGGTACGTTCTTCAATTTGTAATAAAAATATAGATCAATTCGAAAATATTTTTGAAACCAGATTGATGATCTGAAGATGAAGTTGATATATTTGATTGACATTTATTTATTTACGAATTTTTACTGCATTATTTCGCGGAAGTCCACGTCACTGGAATTATTTTGTTTAATTCCGCTACCATCACTATGTGTGTGCGTGAACAAAATGGTAGTCGGGAATTGATGACTAATATTTCCATATTTTAGGTTGTGGAACTTCTGGTAGTAATAGTGATAGTTAGTTTTTTAGTGTTGGCAGTCATACACATACTAATGGTAGCGGAATTAAACAAAATAATTCTAATTGAATAACCAATTTATCTTGATATAATGAATATTTAATTAATAAAAACAATCGTATACTCGTAGATGACATAATTTATATCAAAGATAATAGAAACCAGAGCATAATACCAATGCATAATAATTTTGACAATGTCATAATTCTTAGACATTTTATTGATAATAATTATATTGACTACCTTCATAATTGTTGTGATTAATTGTATGATAACAATATTTTGACACATGTATAAATATTTAATGCATTAATTGTAATGTTTTTATATGTATTTTGATAAAACTTTCAAGGCATCACAGCGCGGTGAGCCAAATTTTCTTTTTATACAACAAGTTGTTGAACTCTCTAAAATATGGTTAAATGGTCACATTTGGGATGGTTAGGATTAGTGTTTCCCATAGCACTGCACACGTGGCGTTCAATCTTTCCTTTAAATCTCCTTTAAATGTTTAATAATCCCTTCTTAGCTTATCTTAAAATAAACCTATGTTAGAAATTTTGAGTTTTCTAGACTTAGTAGATTAGATTATGCTTTGATAGTTAATCACTGTAAACGATATTATAAGTATAGATTAATGTAGTCACGACATAGAATGGGACACCCCTTCCTTTGCCGTGGGTGTCGTAAGAGGCGAGTAAGGGAACTTAATAGTCGAGGAATTGGCAACAGCGTTCCTCTTAAAACGTCACTAAAAACCAAACTGTTGTTGCCAATCCGCCTGTCAAGCGTGGCAATTACTGGCAAACTGCCTTTATGGGGGAGGCTTATGTTCAGCAAGAGACAGGTTAATTTGGTAATCTAATGTGTCTATGAAAGATATCATCATTTATTAATACATTTTATTTATTTAAAAAAAAAATGAGATTTCTAGTGAATATTAATTTTGTAGCTGTAATTTATTTTTGCCGCAAAATCTACGTGAAAAACAATAACTTATCAGCGTCTGACAAATGAAAGTATTAGTATCAACAACAATCTCGATAATGGAAATGAATTTTTCAATTAAAATTCTGTTGCCATCTAAATGGGGTTTGTCCATCAATGTCAAATGAGATTTGTATAATTTAACTGAATATTCCCATAATACCCTATTAATAATTATTTCTCTGCTTTTAAGATTTACATTTTGTACTAATACTTTCCTATCCAAGACAAATGGTATTTCAACTAGTAACTAACAAAAAGTAGATACATTTATAATATTTTTATTTTTTTTTTTATATAATATTTTCTGTTGCTTTTATATGCGGTACTCTTTTTATAAAATACTAATGAATCATCCCGGTTTCGCACGAGTGTAAATTGTAGATACAAACCTCCCGTAGAAAAATCCAAATACAGAATTAATTTTAAAATCGGTTGGTGACTTAAAAGAAGTAAGCGGAGAAACAGAGAGATACGAGTGTATCTTTATTTTATATTATTTAAAAAACCTAAATAGATAATTACCATTTATAATGGTAATTATATGATAAAAAGGGATCTTATTTTATTTATGTATTTTATTTATTAAAATTAAAAAAAAATAGTTATGTAGTAACTATTACATAAACTATTGGTGCTGTTGAATGCGAAAATTTTACGAAATACATACTACTAATAACAGATATTATTAGCAATTTTTTAAAGGAATATTCTACCACCGAATTTCCGTTACCCGTATCCAATAACGAGACTTGATGTCTAAACAAAGCATCTTAAAACATAAAAACAATCTAAGACTAAGAGAACTTAAAAGCCTGATTTTTTAAATCAGATTAAAAAATATATAAGTGTACCCTTTACTGTGTTTACTAATGGGGAAAAATAGTAAAAAAATCAAAACGACTTTTTAATATATTTTGAAAAAAAACATTAGGCATTACGGTAATCAATATATTTAAATTTATTTAACAATGAAACAATGCAAACCCCGGTGTCAAATTTGAAACTTCAGGCATTTAAGGGTTAATTGTTGAAGAATGGGCAGCAGCGCGCCTCTTAAAACATCACCAAGATCTCGGTTACTAAATCGACTGCCAAGCGTGGCAACTGCTGGTAAACCTCCCTTTATGGGAGAGGCCTGTATTCACCAGTGGACAATTAAGGCTGATATGATAATGATGTAGATTGTATCAAAGAGAGACTTTGTATAAAAGTCGATTGCTTGGGTACCTCTGTCCCATTCGTGTTTCTACCGTGAAATAGTTGTGTTTTCATGGCTGTGTTTCGGTTTGAAGGGTGGAATATGGCGTGAATTTACATTCGTGTTTCTACCGTGAAATAGTTGTGTTTGCATGGCTGTGTTTCGGTTTGAAGGGTGAAATATGGCGTGAATTTACAGGGTACAGAGGAATAACATCTGAGTCCTCAGGAATGGCTTGAATTGGCAGAAATTGTTTGCCATTCTAAATTGTATAAAAAAAATTGGAATAACAATAGACTCTTGTTTATTTCAGTTCGATAATAACACTCAAAAAGGATTAAGTGTACTGCTCAAGACGGTATCAAAAATGACCAGTGTTAGGGAATCAGTTGCCAGAAACCCTTTAAGCTACTTCAGTCCGCCATTGAAAGAATACGCGTACTACCAGGGCTCTTTGACAACACCACCTTGCACGGAATCCGTCATGTGGCTAATTCGTGGACGGGCATTATCCGTAACTAGGGTAAGGACGAATATTATTGTAAATAATAAATACCATTAGATACGTAACGTAGCGCCATCTAGTCTGAAACTAAGGTACTAACAATATTTTTGTTGGATGTTTGTTTTTAGTTGAAATTCCTTTACCAGCTAATCAGTATGTATTGAATGGAAAATTTTCATTTTCCAAAATAAATATCGTTTTAAAATTATGTATCATTCTTTTCCAGGATTACATGGAAATGGTACGTGGTTTACTGGAGGAGTTCAGTGAACCTGAAAAAACATTTCATCGACGAGTGCAGCCTCTCAATGATAGAAAGATTTTTTTCTTTAATTAAAATTATAACAGCTTAAATATTTGCATCATTGATATATTTATTAATATACACATAAACACAAATATATAAATACAAATTCAATATAAGAACCAATGAATCAAATTATGACAAAGCGTAAATTGAACTATTTTTTTGAGTAATTTATTTCATCAAATCAAAAATAATTTATTCTATAAAGTGGTAAATATAAAGATGCTCAATATTATCATAATATTAATTTTATATATACAATAAATGATTTAAATTCTAAATATCTGTCACAGACATATTCATCAATTCAATAATAATTTTTTTCAATCATATTATTTTTATAAGTTCTTGAGTTATCTGATTTCTTAATTTATAAAATTAAAGTATGAAATTGTAAATGAGTTTTCAATACTTCAAAATGAAGAAAGTTCTCAATTAGGCTGCATTTTTTTTTTGTTTATTACCTCATAATTACATCAGTTCTGTTACCGATTTGGAAAATCCTATTTTTTCTGAAAGAATATACTTAGCTAGCTATGGAGAGGGCTATGCTCAGAATTTCATGGCGTGACTGAATCCGGAACAAAAATATCCGCAAAAGAACCAAAGTGGCCAATATAACCCGAAGAATAAGCAAGCTGAAGTGGTCACATAGCTCGAAAAACTAACAACTGATAGGGAAGAAAGATTCTTGAGTGGCAACCCAGTACAGGCAAACGCAGTGTAGGAGGACCTCCCAGTAAATGCATTGCAAGAAGTCATCCACTGACTCCCTGTAATTCTTTGGGTATAATATTATATAATTTTCGTAAATTACAGTCACAAATGATTCATAATGATTATATGTTATTCAATCTACCAGAGACCTCTCTCTATCTACCTTTCTACCTCTGTCCCATTCGTGTTTCAACCGTAAAGCAGTTGTGTTTGCATAGCTGTATTTCGATTTGAAGGGTGGGATATAGCGTGAATTTACAGGGTACAGAGGAATAACACCTGAGTCCTCAGGAATGGCAACGCATGGTATCATGGGCGAAACAGTATTATGTCCATGGGCTCATGTCTATAGGCGAGAATTACCACTTTCCATCAGGTGGTCCGTCAGCTTGTTTGCCATTCTAAATTGTATAAAAAATACCATAATAAATATAGTTCTATATGTAGTATATAGTACTAAGGAATTAGGGCACATCATAGCCATGGGAAAAGGGCGGCGATATGTCGATATCAAATAAATAATTTAACAGTTGCATTGAAAGAATATAACGACCTCTTTCTTAGCCTTTAAAGGGCGGTTTCACTGTATTTGATGTTTAAATTAATCGACTAAACCCCCTTTTTATTATAGTAGTGGTAATGTACGACACTGTTTTTTTAACACGAGTGGTATAATGATACATTTATTTAATAAAAATAAAATGGTACTTCGAACTATTTAAGCAATGTTATATCAGTTAAGGATAAGACGAGGAATATAGATTCATTAACTGTATTCCGCGGCTTTGCTCGTGTGAATCAGTTCATAATGTACGCTATGTGTTAAATTTAGGATAAAACCTATCCGTGCACGAAATTTCATTTAAATTTATTCAGTCGTTTTTGCATGAAACAGTAAGAAACATTCATTCAACCATACATCATACTTACAAATTTTCACATTTATAATATTAATAAGATTTGGCCTATCGTGTCAAAATCGCGTGGAGATTGTTCTAACTAGATATGTTAGGAGGATTGTTAGTAATTGGTTCTATTACTAACAATATATCTTATCAGGTCGACCTCCACACGGTTTTCCCTGGAAACCATCATGGTTAATTCTTGTAGAATTCCTCATGATGGTTTATCTGACCTGGTTTCATCCTCAACTATCATCTCTCACTGGTGCTGGCTTAATATTCCATTTTCACCAATTTCTAAGAGGAACTATATGGAAGTCAACCTAATACAATATATTGCTTGCTATGGGACTGTTAGCTCCCATTAATAACAATCACATTAATAATATTAATAACAATTGCTTGGGCACCTCTGTCCCATTCCTGTTTCAACCGAAAAGCGGATTCGGTTTGAAGGGTGGGATATGGCAGTGAATTTACAGAGTACAGAGAAATAGCGCCTTAGTTCTTAAGAACATCAACACATGGGGGATATCATGGGCGAAACAGTATACTCTGTTATGTCCATGGTATTGCTCATGTCTATAGGCGACGGTTACCACCTTGCATTAGGCCATCTACTTGTTTGCCATTCTAAGTTGCAAAAAAAATCCCTTTCCTCCCTGATACCATGTGTATTCCCGTATATTTTGTAATAGTTGGCTATTACACAATCAGGAGATAACAATCATTGTTTACCAATTTAAGTTACATAAAATAAATAAAAGTAATATAAAAGATAATCGTGTTATAGAAAACAGAGGTTAAACACGTGCACACGTCCACTTCAAGGCAGTATTGTCGATGTCTTATCGAGGCTAGTCTCGCGGCAGCCGACGCGACACGAAACAATTCGTATAATTTTATGTTTACGTTCTATGGATTATATCGGCCACTGCCCTAATCCATTCGATAATAAATGATAGATCAAATCTCTAAACAGTAGTCGTAATAAAATTGGTCAAGCACGACTAGAACTCGCAGCAATGAGAGTTCCGTCCATTATCCTCTAATAGTACAGGCTGAAGTCAAAATCATAAGCGTTGTTTTCAGAGAGCGATCTCTCAGAAAAACTGTTTATTTTTCCCAAACGTCCAGTTTTCAAGTTTGTAACAGTCTCAAAATGTTTCTTTGGGGGAAAAGTTCTCTCTCGTCAAGAATAGTAGAACGCTATAAGAATTACGTCGATACCAACCTATACATATGAAAGTGAGTTTGTTTGCAACCTCTCGGTACTCCAATAGTCGTGAAAAGCAAAAATTTGGGATGAAGAAGGACATAGATTATATTTTTATACAGATCAAGCAACATACTCGGGTTATGTGGAAGAAGTCGCGGATAAAAACTAGTAAGTTGCAAGAAACTTGTTATCATATTTTTACTATTCATTTTGTGCCGTTTGATTCAGGAATAGAATAAATAGGTCACCACTTCCTTTTCTATGGGTGCCATAAGAGGCGACTAAAGAAACTTATAGGCCAGGGGATAAGCAGAAGTGTCCCTCTTAAAACATCATCAAAGCTTAACTGCGGTTCTCAACTCGCCTGCCAAGCGTGGCAACTACTGGCAAAGTCCCTTTTATGAGGGAAGCTTATGCAGCAGTGGACAGTTGACGGCTGATATGAGGATGATGGTGATATTTTTAACTATAGTCTGACCAGTGAGCAAATTATTAAAACGCCTTTTTTTATTGCGTCAAACATTACATTAATTATAATATTATAAAACTGGTCAATAAAACTATTTATTTTTATTGATCAAATTTTTTTATGCAGTTTAAAATGGCAAACAAGCTGACGGCTCCCCTGATGGAAAGTGTTAATTGTCACCTACAGACACGAACAGTACGGTTAAAATAGACTACAGAAATCGAAATAGAAATAATTAGTATCTATTTAAAGGTGTGTTCTAAAAGTGACATGGAATATTTTTCGTAAAGTAATACGAATTCATAAATGACAAAAAGTGTTAGGCCTCCCATGTTAAGCAAACACACAGCTGTTAAATTAGCATGGGTAACTCAAAATTGTGTCGTTTTTAAACCTTTCAGTCACGAAACTTCTATCCTAATATATTCCTATATATTTTGCATGTGGTTCTTAGATTTACGTACGCCTAATGACTTAGATATCACTTTTATTTTTGAACTAGCTATCCGGCTCGATTTTGCACGAGTAAATAGATTTTACAAACATAATATACAGACTATCTCACTCATTTACAATGTAGCTTTCTATTGGTGAAAGAATTTTTAAATGATTTTAAGTAGTTTTTGTATTTATCCAGTACTAACAAGCAAACAAACAATCAAATCTTTTGTCTTTATAATATTAATGTATCTATATATCAAATTATTTTATTTTTTATTTATAGTGCTTACATACAAAATGTGTAATAACATTATGTCTAATGCAGACCTGTGGTTTAAAAAAATATAGATAGTTACATCACAGATTCTATATTATTGTATCATAAAAGGGTTTTTACAATCCTTTAAAGTACATGCCATACTTAAAGTATGGTATGAAACTAACCCTCGGCCTTCATTTCCATGTACGAACCCAACCCGCCCTTCCTTTACAATAAACCTTTCAAAGCTCTTGTTAAATTAAGGGCTGTATTGCGGTTTTATTTACATAATATTATAATATTCTTTATTACTTAATTATAACAGCAATATAAAATATTAAAATGTCAGATTAGTTTGTTTTCCTTGCCCTTCTCTGGACTTGACCTGACCTCTCACTAATTTGTCTTAATTTAGTCAAATTTTGTGTTAATATTATTGATCAAGACTCAAACTGTACAGATACTGATATGGAATACACGATACCTGGGGGGAAAGGGATTGTTAGTAATGGAGACTGAGAATCCCATTGCTAGCAATATGCCCAACCAGGTCGACCTCCTCGCGGTTCCCCTTGGAAACTATCATGGTTAATTCCTGATGAATTCATCATGATGGGCTAACTGGCCTGTTTTCATTCTCATCTATCACCCTTCACTGGTGCTCCGCCAGCGTATCCCGTTAGCGCAGGCGGGTTACCATACCATTGTCACCCATAAAAAAAAATACACGATACCTCTTATACGTTGTCATTGGTTAGCATTATAATACTAGGATTTTATATTCTATAGTTTTAGTGTATCTCCAACTTTAACTGAAACATAGCGAAGCAATCACAACTGATGAGCAGCAGAAATGTGCGGAACAGCGGCAATCTTACAAATGACATTCTACAGTCTAACTTTAGTAACAGGGGACTGATACAACTATACGAAACCCTAATATAGTCGATGACAAGGTTAAACTACACATAACCATTGTGATTATGGTATTAAAAACGTCTATATTCATCATAAACTGAGATTTTTGTCGAGTTTATCTGAACATGCAACAGTAGTGGTTGAGATTATCTTAGCACGTACATATCTCTAGAATTTCTGTTGTATATCATGTTACCGGGTCTTATCTGAGCGTCATCGTATCAAGTAGATAGGCATTTCACCGCAGATAAAAATAAAATACTCATGTCGACTTTCTTTGTTATTCATATCTATAAGTGCTGGTAATTTTTTTTATACAACTTAGAATGCCAAACAAACTGACGGCCCACCTGATGGAAAGTGGTAACCGTCGCCTATAGACATGAGCAGTATCATGGACATAACAGAGTATACTGTTTCGCCCATGATACCCCACATGCGTTGCCATTCCTGAGGACTCAGGTATTATTCCTCTGTACCTAGTAAATTCACGCCATATCCCACACTTCAAACCGAAACACAGCCATGCGAACACAACTGCTTCACGGTAGAAACACGAATGGGACAGAGGTACCAAAGCAATCGACTTTTGTACAAAGTCTCCCTCTGGTAATTTGTATAATTTAAGACTGGAAGCAAGCAAATGGGCCGCCCACCTGATGAAAAGTCTTAACTATTGCATCATGGTGATGTGGTGATTTAGTACAATGTGTTACTTTGCAAAGGTCGTAACCTCGATCACTAGATCATACAAATATTTGTAATAATAATAATAATATTTGTAATTAAGTGTATTAGTATTATAGAGAATTAAAGAAATAACAATAATGGATATAATATTTTATGTATTTAACATTACAATCTTTTTTTATTCCACTGACGTGGCAAACAAGTAGACGGCCTACCTAATGGTAAGCAATTAACCTTTACGCACTTACCTTAATTTAGAGTAAAAATTTATAATCTGGTATCCAAATTCACGCACACATAGATAAAAAAAGTTGACCCATTTCTGGCGAAGCATTAGTATGTAGACACTCTATCTATATAATCTAAGCTTCCAATAAAGTATCTCAAAGATTTGCATACGAGAACAATCTTAAGAAAAGAATATATGTATCTTGTCTTGATAGAGAAAATTTGTTACTTGATTCCGTCATACAAATTGTTCATAATTCGCCGAGCAGTATTAAAATTTAACGTAATAATTAATTAGAGGGATATTTCATAGAGTCACCCGCTTATATTTTGTCTCTGTTGTAAAGGGTGGGTTATGACGGTGAAATTACTGGCTGCAGAGTTAATTGCATTATATACCGCGTAATCTAAGATGCCCTTAGTGTATATATGTATATATACATTCATGAGTGTCGCTCTATATTCATTAACCCTGGCTGTTTATATCCGTATGTGTATATCAACCGTTTTTTTTTTTTTTTTTTTTTACAAAAAAAATGTGATTTCTGTCGCTATCTTTGAGGCGACAACTTTCTAATCTGTTTATATTTATATCTGTAAAATTTATAACTGTGTATTTTTTTTTTTTTTTTTTTTCCTGTATTTATTATTATATGTATATATATATATGTACATTAACTATAGTAAAGTCCGAGTTATGTATTTTGTCAATCCATGTATTTAGTGCCATTCTCCTGCCCTATTACTTTAAATATCATTTTAGCGAATTGTATTAATTGGAACCTGCTGGAATCGTCTTCAAATATATTTTTTAAGTTTTCTTTTGTTATATTAGTATTTGTAAGAAATTCAAAATTTAATCTTTTATATGAAAATCTAGTACATTCTATAAGGAGATGCATAATAGTTTGCGGAGTTTCACCATCACAGGTACAATTTGGTGAATCAATTAATTTAAATCTATGCAAATATGATCTATTTCCCCCGTGTCCAGTTAATAGATGAGTAATTGTATTGTCTATCCTTACTGCTTTTAAAATTTTGTGTGCTTTTTTAATATCTGGTAAAAATTCCTTAGTAATACTTCCGGTTTTAGTTTCTGAATAAAATTTTTGTAATGTTTTGATGGATTTTTCTCTTATTTCTCGCTTAACCAGAGACAGGGGAAATCGATCATATGAGGGTAGGGTATCATTTTGCTGAGCAGCAGCTTTAGCTAGAGTGTCTGCTCTTTCATTACCTGGGATGCCTATATGAGCTTTAACCCAGTGTAAAAGAACCTTCCCTCCTCTCGCCTCATGAGCCTGTATTTGGTTGCGTATTTCTACTGATAATGGGTGTAAGGAGCATGAATCGGAGACACTGTCTAAAGCCGACATAGAATCGCTTAGAATGTTCGCCTTATAATACTGTGGCTTTGTTTTCATAATTTCGAGTGCTTTGAGTATTGCTGTTAATTCAGCCTGAAAAACTGAGCAATAATCTTCCAAGCGGAAATTAGTATAAAAGTTTTCTTCATCATTTATCCAGGCTGAAACTGATCCCCCTACCTTATCGTGAATTTTACTTCCATCCGTATACAATTGGGGCTAATCATTGATGTTCTCGCTAAGATCTTTGGAGTCGTTTATAATATTATATTTAATATTGAGTCTTACAGCAGGATGAGGTAGGGTGGTAACTGAGATTAAAGATTCCAGCTTTTTCCCCGGTAGTTCCTGTAGCTGGCGGCCTCTCTTTATACAAAATAGTTCCGCGTGTTCTTGCGCCTTAAGCTTGAGCGGCAGCACACCAGCAAGGACTACGCTTGATGCAAAAGACGTGGTTCTATGGGCTTTTGTGATTTTTATGGAAAACAATCTCGTTACTCTATCGAGAATGGCCTCATTAGAGTATTTATTGGCTGCATGTGCCCAACAATTAGCAGCATAGAGAATGGTAGGCTCAACCACCGCGCCATATATCAGCTTGAGAACTTCAGAGTTGAGTCCCCACTGTGCTCTAGCCATTTTAGAAACCGCCTTATATATATTTAAAGCCTTAACTGTAACATTTTTGAGATGGGCATTAAAATTAAGGTTGCAGTCGATTGTTAGGCCCAAAACTTTAATGTCTTTTTGTAACTGAACTGTGACACCATCCATATAGAGCTTGGGAGTGTAA